TTCTCCTAATCAGGGGTAGTAAAAGTAGTAGGCGTGAGAATACGGGGAATAGCCGGCGAGGGAGCCTTATTGTCGAAGTCGCTAATAACGATAACGGGGGTAGGCTTATAATACTAAGTCTAAGTGTCTATAGTGTTTAAGATATAAGTATAAGGGGGTGGGCGAATAATAATAATAGGGTTTGGGCGTTTAGGGAAAGGTTCTTCGAACTAAGTATCTAGCGAGAAGATCCTATAGATGTTTTAGATACTAGCTAGGTTCTTATATATATTATCTTATCTTAATAAGAGTAATAAGGTCTTTAATAAGAGGGTAGTAGCGGTCCTAGGTTTTACTCCGTGATATGTATCTTCGGGTCTAGCTTTTTTAACTCACCTTAAAGGCAAAGGCCCCCTATAAATAGGAGATTGCCTGTTAGTAAAGGGACTATACTCACGGATATTAATATCAGTAATATTATACGCTAAGTCTTATGAAGAAGTATTGTAACTTACTCACAGGGTCCGTAAAGGTCTTATCTATTAGACTATCGGGTCCTTATATAAGGCATCGTTATTTCGCTTCTACGCTCGGTATTAGTATTTTCTTTAGATTATTAGGGGTTAGTTACCCTAATCCGAGTCAGCTGCTCTTAGCAGTCTTATCTTTTCTTCGCTATTATACAAGAGTCTGTTTTAATTAGTGGTGGGGGTTATAAGCCTCCTATTAAGTCTATTCTATATCCGGGATCTAACTCTATCGCGATCTAATCAGTTTCTTTTATTCCTATAGTTACTACCTCCGCAGCGGCGGGTCTTAAAATTAAAAATGCTAAAGGTACTTCCAATCTTACCTATATAGTCGTTTCTTTTTCTAAATCTATTAGGATAAATCTCCCCTCGGTCTTAAAGCGTTAAATTCTTCTCGGTCGTTATGTTTATATTCCTTAGGGGTTATTAACTAATAGTCTGTTTAAGAGGGCCGGAACCTTCCTTAAGCGCCTTTTATTACTCTGATTAGGGTTAGAATACTTTAGGGACGCCGAATAAATCCGCCTCCGAGCACTATATTATAACCAGATAAAGACGTAGTGGCACTATATCGTTAAGACAAAGATTAGATAAAGAGGTTAGTCTAGTAACACCACGATACTTAACTAAAATATAACTAATAACACTATAACCTTTAGCGAAGAAGTAGATCGATAGTCACTGCTCTGATTAGGGTAACGTAAGTTAAACTAGAAAGATACCTCAAACGTAGAACAAGCAATTGCAAAAGAAGATGATAATTAAATGATGATCCCTTAATAGGGATATCCTGAGCCTGTCCTTAATATATATATATATAGGAGGTGGATCCAGTAGCCTTGAAAAGAGGGTCATATAACCGGCTGTCAGAACCACTCCAAAGCCGCATCTACGTGGTTACATTAGTTCCTAATATCCTATATCGTTAGTATATTAATATAAACGTCCTCGCGAAGACTAAGGGCTTTTTTCTTAAGCCTACTAAGCTAGCTAACGGCAAAGTTTAACGCCACGCCTCCTTCTATTCCTTCTTTAAGGATTAAAACTCTCTAACCGAGAGTCTAATAGAAGAGATCTTTACATAACGACTTAAAGAGTTCTAGCGGCGGGGTCAGTACCTAAAAATCGCAGTTAATTACGCGATGAATTTCTAGATCCTGCCCTATAAAGAGAAGCTTATATATTACTTTATAAATAAGTTCCCTTACTTCGGTAACCGTACTACCTCTATTACCGAGTCCTCGCACGCTAGCCTTAAACGGTATATCCTCTCTTCTACCGGTGACCTCGTAACTATTTTCCGTAGTATGAAGCTATACTAGAAGAATTAAGGGACGGACTTATAAATAGAGAGGGCTAACCGAATTAATATGGTGGAGTTTACAATAGTAGGAGTTCTTTTTAGCCTTATTTTACGAAGAGTTATTCTATAGACGCTTTAAAGGATTAGAATTAAGCTTGCCGACCCAGAGGTAATATGTTAAAAAGAGCGAAAGTAACCGTAATAGCTAGGGCCTTATCAGTCTTATACTATTACTAATACATTTAGCCTGCCTTATCGGTACGTACTATCTATCCACCTACGCGATTTAGAGGCGCTTAGTCATTTATTATTTAACCTCTACTAGCGATAGAATTGTTATTAGGTTAATACTAGTACTACTATTCTATCTACCACTACTCCGCCCCTTAAGCCGATAATCGTATAAGGAAAAGGCCGGCTAGAAGGAGCTGTCAAGATATCGAGTACGGGTAAGAAGAAGGGATAAGGGGAGAATAGTACTAAACGGCTCCTATCTACCTTCGAAATTACGGCTACTAAGGAAAAACGTAACGCCCTCCCCCCCTTAACGGCTCCTCCTGCCCTAACCCTATGATATAAGGCTAGTACGCAGGCGCCTTATTACTCGGCCCGGGTCTTTAATATAGATATCGACGAACCACCTTATAATAGCTTACACGATCACGAATTAGAGCGTATTTCGACTAAGTTTAAGGGTAAGATAGATACGTTGTTAAGGCGTGCCGAGGAGGAAATAATCCGCTAATATAAGGAAAAAGCAGAGCTAAGGGAGTTAGAGGCGGCGGCGTTAACTGCTTTAGAATAGCGTTAACTGCTTAAGAATACGAAAGTTCTAATTATTTTTGCTTATAGCTTATTAAGTATATAGATTAATAAGATTGATAACACTTATATAAAGTGAACTAATCTCTATATATAAATTAGGTGCGATACTTTATATACTTAAGCCTAACTTTATAGCCCCAATAAAAAGTGGGTTTTACATAGCAGATATCAGAACTTACATAACGGATAGTTATTCTCTTATTAAAGCTCCTACTAGCCACTGCTAGTCAGCTAGTATTAACTGTTATAGGGGAATAGACAATTTAACCGGTGTTGCTGTGCTAGGTGCATATAGCCACCTTATCGAGGTATGACAAACCATATTATACTAGACGTGTAGAGTACCTCGATCCCATATATCCATAGTTATTTCCCCTTATTTTTGCTAATAGATAGATATCCCCGTGAAGTACCACGAGCATTACGTAGACAAATATATACATAATTCCGCGTACCTTATTTGTGTTCTGACATGCTGCTTTAGAAAAGGTTCATATTGACCCTGCTGAGTCATAACAGAATGGGCGAAAACGGTAAGAACAGGCCACCGCCTAACGTACGCCCAGGATCGAGACCAGCCAATCCATCTTCAAGGTACTAGGTACCTCGAGCGGGGCCATTTCTCGGTGTATTTAAAGTAACTGTACCCGACTAGCAGGTAGGATGAAGTCTTCACCAATTATCTTCACCAATTGTCTTCACCAATTGAACAAGTCACTTTGCTTGTAACTTTTCCTTGTTCCGAGTCCTGACAATTCGCGTCCAGAGACAACTCCCACTACCTATGCGTTTGACGCCATGTCGGTTACCGGTTCCGAGGTTGAAGACTCGGTGACGTCGGAGCCCGTCTTCCGGAACGTTCACTGTTCCCGATATTTCCCCTGTCCTGTCCTGTCCTTGTCCCTGAAGCCCATGGAGTGCAGTATCTCGATAAGAACATGAAGCTATGGCTTATTGGCAATTGCTTGAGCTAAGCTGCAAAGGCAGGTCGCTTCGTGCTTATGTTCTAGAAGCGTCCTTTGGCTCTTTAGCCCTCTAGGCACCGCGACAAGAGCCATTGAGCTGCGCTGGATCAAGGCAAGGGTTTGGTGTGGATACTGAGTCTGTAGGGCCTGCCATCTGGAGATAGCTTGGTCTTTAGTTGTGTGGATACTACGAAGTACGGAGGCGTGCTCTTTGCATTTGGGGGTGTTGCTTTGAGTGCCCGGTTCTCGAAACCACAAGCAGAGAGTCAGAGACAACGAAAAGGATGTTCAGTTCAATGAGTTCTAAATTCCGTACATGTATGATGTACGGAGTACAGTGCAATCTTCCAAGTTGGTTGGTGCACTGGGCGTTGCGATTGCATACAGGTACTCTCCAATGCCCTCAAAGACATAAGAAGGTAACGGATTCTCGTCTCTGTAAAGATTAATGATTCCACTAAGGTACGGTTCATGATTCATCAGTTTATCAGCCCGAGGATATGGCGCATAGTAGGTACCTACAGTACCTGTACCTAAAGACCTTAGAGGCCCTGTAGCCCTGTAAGCCCACTAGCTTGGGACCTTGGGTACCTTATGTACGTACATATTATGACAAGCCCGCTATTAGTTTTCGAAGAACATTCCCCGCCGTGCCAGACGGGAAAAGGCAGGTCGGCACGCATAACCCCCTGCCGGTCCCAAGAAACGAAGGGAAGCCAAGGAGTCAAGGACCCCTCACGGCCCTTCGCTGGTAAGCGCACTTTAGGAAGGTGATAACATGCTACCTCGCCCCATTACTACGCCCAGGCCCCGCCGCCCCTTCTCCCAGTCCACAAGCCTGGGATACGAGATGTTCAACCCCAGCCTTCTTTTCTACAAAGTCTGCGTTTCTATGCAGGTCTGCGCCGGAATCAGTCCAATCGGCCGAATGTCCGGGACGAACAGAACCCACTTCTACCCCATTGCGGGGTCCTTTTCTTGGAGATTGATAGCAGAGAGTGGCAGACAGGGCACATAGACAGGACAGACAGGGAAGAGAGGGCATACAGTGGGTGAGCAATAATTTCGGTACATTTCAAAGATCCAGTGATTCGTTACTTTTGCAACATAATATGGTTTTTGCCCTAATAGAAACAAGTGTTCCCCAAAAGGTTCGAAGCATTCTACTTTGGGGTATCCCGAAACTTTTGCTCTCACTGTAGAAGGGCCCCAGACGGTAAAGCTAAGCTGATGAAGCTATCTCGTACGTTGCACTCTGTGGTCCAGTTCGCTTGGCTTACAGGCAACAGTGCAGCTGCCAGCACACATCCCTCTTCATCCCCTCGGGTATACGGGTGTGGCACATGTATGTATTGATGCGTACGTTGTACGTTGTATGACCAGATTCCCCCAGGGCCCCAACGTCATGCTGCCAAGATGATATGCTCCTTGCAGGAGCACCGAACCAGTTACCACATCGTGGACGCAAAAACGGGCAGCGTATCCTTACCCGAACCAAGCGAAGCATCTCGCGACTCCACTCCGTTGTTCCCTCCCCTCGTGCTCCCCCAGGGGTACATAAGGCAGTGCTCCCTCCCCGCAGATCATCCCCGGATTTCACTTCCTCAGTGCCATTGTCGGTAGCAACTCCTCCCTCCCGATAAGACAACTGCAGCAGCCGCACGCGATCAAACCATGAAGTCCGCCGCCGGTGCCCTCGCCCTGGCGCTGCCCTTCGTGGCCGCCAAGGCCTCCTACGACGGCTACAAGGCCTTCCACATCGATAGCCACCACAGCTACGAGGCCCTGCAGGAGAAGCTGTCCGCCCTCCACGTCGTCGACATTGGCTGCGGCGATGACCACGACCACCTCGACATCGCCGTCGCCCCGGAGGACATTGCGGCCTTTGAGGCCCTCGGTCTCGACGCCTCCGTCGTCGCCCAGGACGTTGGTGTGGAGCTGGCCCGCGAGGGAGCTCTCAAGCCTTATACCGGTGCGTACACCAGTTCATGAGAGTCCATGCCCGTTACCTTGGCACATTGTGTTACCATGCCCCGTGGCCCCCAGCCATGGCCCTGGCCCATGCTTCTTAACAACATGAAGTTAACATAACACTAACATGAAACCTTCCAAACAACAGCCACGGTCAAGGCCGCCGGTGAGGTCCCCGGGCTTCCCGAAATGAGCTGGTTCGAGTCGTACCACGAGTTCGAAGACCACCTTCAGTTCCTCGAGGACGTCCATGCCGCCTTCCCCAACAACTCGGAGACCTTCGTCGCCGGCGAGTCTCTGGAGGGCCGCCCTATCTCGGGTATCCACCTCTGGGGACGCGATGGTCCTAACGCCCACGAGGCCATCGTCTGGCACGGCACCGTCCACGCTCGCGAGTGGATCGTCGCTCCGGTATGTCGGACTGTGCTTTGAATGGTCATGTTGGCTGGGGGCAGAACATAAAGTGAGAACATGAAGAGAGACGCGAAACTAAGAGATCAATCCCCCACAGACCGTCGAATACCTCCTTTACCAGCTTGTCGACGGCTACCAGAAGCGTACTTGCACTGCCGTCCGCGCCATTGACAACTACGACTTTTACATCATGCCCGTCGTCAACCCCGATGGTAAGCCCCGTGCCCACTCATTTGCCTTCCCCCCCCCTCCTCCTCTCCCCCCCCGTCTCCCCCCCTCCCCTGCCTCGGGCCCTCGACTAATATCATATTAGGCTTCGTCTACACCTACACCGACGACCGCCTGTGGCGCAAGAACCGCCAGCACCGCGAAGGCGCAACCTGCGTCGGCACCGACATCAACCGTAACTGGCCCCACCACTGGGACGTCCCCGGCGGCTCCTCGCCGAACCCCTGCTCGGGCACCTACCGCGGCGAGGCGCCGGGCGACACGCCCGAGATGGCCGTGCTGACGAACCACACGCTCGAGGTCGGCGGCCGCAACGGCCTGAAGCTCTTTGTCGACTGGCACGCCTACAGCCAGCTCATCATGCTGCCCTACGGCTACGACTGCAGCAAGGCGGCCGAGAACAACGACTACCAGATGGAGCTGGCCGGCGGTGTCGCCGAGGCCATCCGCAGCGTCGACGGCCGCGTTTTCGTCTACGGCCCGACTTGCCCTACCATCTACCAGACCTCCGGTGTTAGCATGGACTGGGCGTACGATATTGCCGGCGCTGAGCTGTCTTGGGGTTATGAGCTGCGCCCTGCTAATGCTCGGGATGGTGGCTTCGTGCTGCCGCCTGAGGATATCCTTGTTTCGGGCCAGGAGCAGTGGGCGGGTATCAAGCATCTCCTCAACAACTTCTAAATGGGTCTTGCCTCTTGACCCAGCCGGCACTACTTATGGGAACATGAAGGCTCATGTTTTCGGGAGTGGGTTCACATGTGGATAGAATACTTGAAACTGTCGCAAAAAAGAGCGCCAGAAAATGCGCCAGGAAATAGTGGAGGAGAAGGAAATACCTCAATTGCTTTGGCTGTCTCGAATTCCGAAGGCTCAACCTGCTTTGACTTTTCTTTTGACTTGCATGTTCTAGACTGATGTGAGTTGATGCCACTCGCTCGCTCGCCGCCATTCGTGATGCGCCATGAAAAGGCAGTGCAGCCGGGATAACGAAACACTCACTTCAGAAAACCCACGGTATAAACCGCGCCGTCTTCGCATGCCACCTCTCCCACTCCCCGCCAAACGCAGACTTCAACAACCGCTCCTCCTGCTTCACCCGCGCCGAGATACCCCCCGCCATCAGCGCCAGCGCGACCGAGACCAACCCCCACTGCCACTCCCGAATCGCGAGGCACCAACCCCCCGGAAGCCAGCTGCTCAGCGCACCGTCCGGCCGTAGCAGCAGCGCCGCGTTGGAGAGCACCAGGATCGCCAGTCCCGTGTAGCTGGGGTGCTGCACGTAGCGGTAGATGCCGGAGGTGGTGAGGCGGTCGGGCTTGGTGAGGGTGAAGGTGAAGTTCGTGCCGAGCGTCGAGTAAGGGACGAGGCGGAGGGGGATGCCGGCGCAGAGGATGAGGGCTAGGGGAATGGCGGTACGGGGGGACCAGGTGAGGAGAGATTCGTTGAGGTTGTGGTTTTCGGCGGCGCGGCGGAGGAGGTGGAGGGGGATGTTGGGGTGGTGGTAGGCGAGGGCGGATGTGTGGAGGGATAAGAGGGTGAATGGTGCCAGGATGGCTCGGATGGTGAACTTGTGGGTGATTCGCAGCCAGTGCATCAGGTCCGGGGGATGGTCGGCGTTGTTCATGTTGTCCTCGGCGTTCGGCGGTGAGAGGGCGATGCAGGTGCCGATGGTGGAAGCGGCTATTGCTGCTGATAGCGATACTTGTTGGAGGGACATTGTGATGGCTGTATGATAAGCGTAGTCGATATGGACATGAGATAGACGGACGGTGGAAGGTGACGAAGGGAAGAAAAGAGAGAGAGTTGAGTGCACAGCAAGTTCCACGCGTTTTAGTGGGACGTTTCGGTATTTCTTTGATTACTTGGCCGTTACGCGGGTAAAACAGGGACGCGTGACATCTCAGTCGCACCAATTAGACATCAATTCCCCCCTGTCGAGTCCGTGAAGATGGCGATGATCCCTTATGATTTTCAAGTCCAAGACAATCGCATTAATACGTCTTACTGTGCACATCGCAGAATTCCCCGTTTCTGATTAGGATGGCTGCGACTTTCGAGCGTCATTAATACTGAGTCGCCTGGAGAAGAAGGGGAACAGAGAAAGGCGTGCACTTTTATTCGGTGGGTCTTAACTCTTGTCTAAGACATGGCGATAGCTTCAATTCACATCCCAATGAGGAACCGATAGTTCGTGATTGGCTACGACTGGCAAATTGCGGAAATCTTTTAAACACTTATCGCCTATCTCGCCCCGGTATCTACCGAGACCGAGGCCGAGACCGAGACCGCCAGACCGCCAGACCGCCAGAAGACCGGTGGGTGGTACCTAGTGGTTGACTCCGGGCCGGTATCTTTTTATCCGCCTAATAGGACAAAGATTAGAGATACACGTGTAAGTCTAGCACATAGAGTCGACGTCTCGTGACGTGACCGGTGACCGCCGAGTACACGTACCTCACTAGCACTATTAGCACAGCATGAGGGGGTCCGCCGAACTGATAAGGATGCGCCGGGACGCTCCTCGACTGCAGCAACGGGCTGTCAGTCTCAACTGTCACTGACATTCCCAGCATTCATGTTCACTGCGACTACATTATTTTCACAATGTATTCAGGCTCGGGCTTCCTCGCAATCCTCGACAAAACACAAGGTCTCGCAGCTTTCGTGGCCCTGTCGCTTATTATCATCATCGCAGTCGTGTTGCGGCTTTATCGCCCGCAGCATAGTCCCCCTCCCGCCGGAAAGTCGACGACAAACGCCTCAAAGCGCGCGAAAAAAGACGAAAATAATCCCGAAAAACGGATACCCTCTGACTTCCAAGCCCCTACACCAACTCCCTATCCAGACTGGTCGATCAGACATACAAAACCGCTGCCGTACAGACCATTCCGCTATGGCCCCAAGTACAACGTGACCATGGGCCTCCGGGCAATCCACCACGACGACTGGATCGAGCTCGACAACCAATTCCCCAAATTCCACGCCGAAAAAGCCCGCCGCATCGCCGACCGCGGGGAGAAATGCACCAAGACCGCCCCCGAAGCCTACCCCGCCGCCCTCGAGCTCCTCGAAGAACTAGCCCGCTACCTGCCCGCCCGCTACCCGACCCTCTTCCGCCTTACGGAAACCGGGCGCCTCGTCAACCTCTGGTCGGGGGAGTCGTTCGACATGGCCGAACGTCCGCTGGCCGAGGACCCCATGGCCGTGTGCGCGCGGCTGGTCCAGGACGACCTGGCCATCATGGTGGAGCGGGAGGACGACGGGCAGTACTACCTCCTCGCCGGGTCGATCCTGCTGCCCGGGTTCTGGCGGCTGGGGGACAAGTTCGGCATGGCGCTCTCGGAAATCCACTCGACGGGCGACGTGCCGCAGTTCCGCGAGAAGCTCGAGGCCGGCATGGGGAAATTCTTCGCACGGCTGCGCCCCGACGAGCTGTACGCCCGGCATAACTACTTCATGCAGGTGGATGACGGGCTGGGGTGGAGCCGTAGCATCGGATCCGAGGACGCGCCCGAGGGGTCGAGGGGGTGGGGCGCCGTCAAGGAAGGGGACAAACCCATCGAAGAGGTGTGGTTCCGGTCCGAGAGGCAGACGTTGCGCAGGTTGCCGAGGACCGGGGCGGTGGTGTTCACTATTCGGACGTACTTTCACCCCATGACCGAGGTGGCGCGCGAGGACTACGTTCCTGGTAGGCTGGCCAGCGCTATACGGAGCTGGGGCCCGGATGTGAGGCGCTATAAAGGGCTGGAGAAGTTCGAGCGCGTCTTGCTGGAGTATCTTGACGAGCAGCACCAAAAGCAGGTCGAGCAGGGACTGGACCTTGGTAAGGAGGATGAGATGCGACGATATCCATGGTAGAGGGTTGCCAAATCGTGTATGGATAGACGCAGCGTCTCAAAAAAAAAATAGAAAAAAGGGGCTTCATTGAGGGGAACGGACTTTCTCGGTTCGACATCGGAGACCGAGGTTAATCCACCTCTGTGGGCATAGTCCCTATATATGGGTATAGGTCCTACACGAGGGTACTAGACCCACACAGTATAGCTTATATACGCGGGTCAGGTAACGGGTTTACACACTATATCTTTGGCTAGCTGTATATATATCCTAGATAGTCACCTAGCTAGCTATATATACACGTTTTCTATATATATTACTATAATCTGGTAATAACTAGTCCTTTTTACGATCGTTAAAACGCCGCGTATCGCGATACTAGTCTATAATAGACACTAGCTTCGTTTCGACCTCTATATATAGCCGGAGGGCGTACTCTACGCTCGATACTTACTACGTTATTATTAGAACCGCACTAAACACTATATAGAGATCATGTAACACGATTTATAGGTAATTCGCTTTGTTTTATAATAGAATAATACTATAAATCTAGACCTGTCCGACTACGAGATCCCTTACCCAATCGAGTGGGTTAAAGAACGAGTAGCTAGTATCCGTAGACTATTTCGGACTTTTCGATATAAATTTATATAAATCTATATAAACCTCCCCTCTTCTACTAACTAATTATAACCACCTATCTAGACTTATAACGTAACGTTAACGTCTATATATACTACCCCGTATAATTCACTATAGAACGTACTAGTGCCTATTACCCCGCTCGCCTAACGTATTACTACCCTTAATATCTAAGATACACCTATTCCGCTAGCAAGCTAATCCTAAGCCTAAACTATATAGATAAATTAGTTCGGCAGAATAAGCCTTTCACCTCTACTACCCCTACTATAACGCGGATTACACAGATATCGAAACCCGCTATAAGACGATCCTTAAAGCCTCCTACCCTTACTAGACTCACCGTAACGGTTATATAATTCGGATCCATTATATAGTTTACAGACATTAAGTCCGGAACTATTATACGTCTTAAATATAGCAGATAATAACCCTAGCTAAGGCTAGGAGGATATATAATAAGAATAACTATCCCCTAAAGACGAACGTATAGTCCGTATCTTTAGTCGAGTAATAACTTAAGCTATAGTCTAGGTCTACATACAATAAGCTTACGCTTAGCCACCTTAAATAACTATAACCCGATAGTAAAATACACCCCTAAAGCCCGAAGTACCCTAAACACCCTAACGCCCCTAAACGGAGGTTATATATATAGTATAGCTCCGTCTATTAGATATCGGCTAATTTAACCCGAGAGCCAGAGACCTAGACCGTTCGGATATTATTATATAAGGTAGTAACCCGGTATATATAGATATCTACGTGTTTACGGATCGATTACTCAGAATTCACGCCAATAAACTATAAGCCCTCCGGGATATATAGACTTAATACCTTAGGGGAGATACTTTAAAATAGTACTTATATCTCCTAATCTAACCGGATAGGAAGCTACTTAAATAAGCCGATATCCAGATAGTGTGCGAGAAACTAACCGAAGACTTTAAGCCCGATCGCTTAAAGGTACTCGCTTTTTAGTAGGGATCTAACTATACTATTATAGATATCGTAAAGGGTAATAGAATTCACGATTTTATATAAAAGATACTTCGTGCCGCACGCGATATAAATATAGGTAAAGTAGGCAGACTTAACGCTATTTATAATAAAATGGATAGACTCGTTTAAATAGTAATCCTGCCGCCGGTAGACGATACTACCCCGAAATAATAGCTAGATTAGATTAAGAAGCGTAAAAACACACTCACTACACTTACTAGAGAGGGATATCGGCCACCTAACCATTATAATATAGTCGCTACCTAATAAAATAGACCAGGCCGTTCTATATTTAACCGGTCGCTATATACCGGTGGATAATTCCGATAGTAACCTAATATCACGCCGACTACTATATAAACTAGCAATTCTAACAGGTATAATATAACACCTAACACTATAACCGGACCCCGTCCCTAATAACCCACGTAGAAATAACTATTATAGGGAAGCTAGCCGTTAAATTACCGTAACTGATAGAGTAACTAGCCGAACACACGTAAGCTATAGCCTAACTACCGCTCGTATTAAAAGCTAACGGCTAAAGCTTATTAGGCTAATATAAATAAACCTAATAAATAATAGATATAATAATAATAAATAATCGAGTATTACCCTATTAATAACGAACCACCTTAAGAAATTAACTCCGAGGACGTACCCGATACCTATAATCAAGAATTTTATAAATAAGGTGATAACTAATACCGTATTCTAAAGGATAAGGGAAGTAATAAGAATAATTATAATTATCATATTATACCTATAATACTAATAGTTCCCGTAATACCCCTTAACCAGCCCTAATACCACTACTATCGAGAATTATTCCTAAGTAATAATAAATTGTATAAACACGTTAAATAAGTCCACTAAGTCACGTAAGTACGTGAAATTATAGACTTAATAGCCACCTAACCACCTATACTATAGAATAATAATATAGAAACACGCCCTTAGACCGAAACTCTAGTAAAATAGTCTACGGTTAACGCTAGCTACGATATAGGTATAGGTTACAGATTTAGATCCTATACCTACCTTAAGTATACTATTACTACCGATACGAAGGATAAGATTCTAATCTGTACTAATATAGGCTATTCTGTGATACATATTAACCGTATATTCCTCCGTAACAGCTACCCTAACCTCTAAATTAGATATTGCGCTATACCTATTACTATTTATAGTATAGGCATTAATATATACGCTACTAAAGAATACGTGTTACTGCTATTCCGATTTAAAGGCATATATAACGATTAACCCACTATTATAATATTTATTAGAGAGGTATTAGTTATCGATAACCTTAAAGCTAATATACTCCTTAGTATGGATTATATAGTACCCGAGTAATTTAATATTTAAAATAGCATAAATATAATAATTATATATAGCTATTAAGTCGAAATCCTAATACTTTATCGGTTATATACACGCCGTTAACGAATTAAGGTCGTTATATAAGGCCCCGTTAAAATTCCCCCGTATTCAACGAGCTTTACTATAGTTAATTATAAAACGACGGATTACTAAGATTATATACTCGAACCTATAGATTTACCCCAGCCGTTATAAACCTATACTATACTCTATAACTCTAAGCTTTAATTAATTCCACTATAAAACTAAGCGGACGAAGTTTACCATATAGAGTCGGGTATATATATCGGCTATATAATATTAATCGACCGCGATTACTATACTTAGATAGCCTATAACGCCGAAGTAGTAACAGAAACGGTATATAAAGGCGAGTCGTATAATAGATAACTTCCTAATAAACCCCGCTATATCCTCTAAGACGCTATGCTAGACGAAGCGGCTATATATAGACACGAAACAGGTATTAGACTATATATATACGAAGGATTAGAAAAGCTTATGGATATAATCTCACACTATAAAGACGTCTTTACTAATAAGGGCTTCGTATATATCCCCGAAGATTTATAAATACGGGTAAAATTTCGACCCGACTAGTATAACCGTATCCCTAAAAGATATCGGGTGAATCTAATGAATGTAAAGAACTAAATAGTTATCGATATAACTATTAATAAGCTAATTAAACACGGTAAAGCCTGTAAAACTATACACGATATTTTATTTTCCTGGCTAGTATTCGTAGTGTGGAATAAGATAGACGATTAATAGAAAAAGAAAGGCAGAATAGTCGTGGACGTACAACCCTTTAACGATACTATTATAATAAACGTATACCCTATACGTATATAAGACGAGATCATATAACACGTCGCAGGTAAAAAATAGATTATTATACTCGATACTATAAGTTTCTACTATTGATAGTAAGTTTACCTAGATTATATATAGGCCTTTACCGTCACTACGGTAAGGGGATAGTATATATTTAAATATCCTTTTATAGGCTTTAAGAATTCGAACGCCTATATTTAACTAATAATAGATAACCTACTCGAGGGCATAGCCGCTAAGACCTACTACGACGATATCGTAGTAGTAAGCACTACCTTTAAAGAGCACCTATGAGACGTTCTAGAAGTCCTGTACCGTTTTTAGTACTTTAACCTATCTATAAGCGCTCGTAAATCGGTAGTAGCCTATCTATTAGCTATCGTTCTTAGTAAGCTCATAGACGTATAGAGCCTTTTAATACCCGAAGAGAAACTTAAGGCTATCCGTATAATCGAATTCCCTAAAACACTTAAGTAACTGGAGTACTGGATCGGCCTCGTAATATCGCTTCGGCACTATATTCCTAAATTCGCGATACTTATAGAACTATTTAAAATACGTATGGCGAATCTTATTAAATAATACCGCCGAACTAAAGTATAATAGACACAGGTATAACTCTAAGAAGGCCCGAAGCTAACGGCTAAACGTAATTCTAAACTAGCCCGAACCGCCTAGGCCCGATTAATTAATATCCTACTCCCGACAGGATATAAGATATAAGCTTTCCACGTCGTGAAATAAACCCTCTACTGAAATATCGCGTTAGCTATATTTAACCTATACGATAAACTTTTTATCGATATAGACGTATTATATAACGGAATCGGCGTTCACGTCTATTATATCGAGAAAAAAGCCCTAGAAAAGATACTTATAGACTATATAAAAATAGCTTACCCGCCCCGGACCGCTATAAGACCTATCGCGTTTATTTCTCGAGTACTACGTCTAATAGAAAAGAAGTACTGGGTAACCGAACTTAAGATCGTAGGCTTAGTGTGGACGCTTTCTAAAATATGCTACTAGATTAAAAATATCAGAAATCCACCCGTTATTATTATTCCCGACTACTAAGCGATTATTAATATAATACGTTAACTGGATATCTCTAATACTACGTCGAGAACGGGCGCTAATAAAAAGATTCTTAGGGCTATAGAATATATCTTTTAATTCGAATTCTAAGTTATCTATAAACCCGGTAAAGACTATATAGTTCCCGATACGCTTAGTAGATTACCGGTAGTATACGATACCACGGAAATAGGATAAGGGTAACTCGACGAATTACCTTAGGATAGACCTAAACACGTATACCTTATATTACCACCTATACGATTATACCCACCTAATACCGAAGCCACTAAGGCTTACCTAAACGACATACGTGATAATATTAGAGTTTAAGTATAATTACCTAATTAGACACTTAAAGTAACGATATTACTCGTTTAGATATTACCCGAATTTAAACGTAAAATCCTAGAAGGCTATAATACTAACCTATTCTAGCGAAATATTATAGTAACCCTTTAATAAAACGCAGAACTCGAGCTATATAACCGAGCTAAACTACTATTCGAATAGTAAACTAACGGCCTACTTTAGTACGTGTCCGATAGCCTTCCCCGCCTCTATATCCCACGGACATATTAGCTTAATATCTTCACGATAATCCACGACGGAAACTACTTAGGATACGCTAAACTCGTATAATTCCTACACTAATTTTACATCCACTAAGGCTATAAGGAATTCCGGCGATACCTTTTAACTTACCCGATATATAAAATCTACTCGAAGCTATATTATAAACCTTACGGTAGCCTCTAGCCTATTATTCTACCACTATACCCGTACTATATAGTTATTATCGACTTCGTGCTTATACTGCCCGAATCGCCGGACGGATATAATTCGGCACTTATAAGCGTCGATAAGCATTTGAAAGAACTTCTTATAATGCCCGGTACGACTAATTAGATAGCAGAATAATAGGCCGACGCCTATCTTAACACCTTACTCCGTAGTAATTAGGGTATACCTAAAATTATTATTAGCGATAAAGACCCTAAATTCCTATCTAAATTCTAGCAATAACTCTAGAAAAGACTCGGTACTACGCTAGTCTATACTACCGTATACTACTCGTAAACCGATAGTTAAACAGAACGCGTTATATAAATCGTCGAATTCGTACTATAATTCTATATCGATATATTAAAATAACCCGAGATATAGGAAAAAGCACTACCTTAACTATATTTCGAGTATAATATAATAAGATCTAGTATTACTAGATATAGCCTAGTAGAAATCGTTAAAGGCTTTACGCTAAATAATATTATAATAATACTGGCTAAGATAGAACTATACGCCCCTCCTATAGCTAGGCTCGAAGCCGTAGATATAATCGCAGAAGCGGCTATATCTATAAAACAACACTACGATCGCCGACACACGCCTAAGTTTTTTAACGTTAAAGATAAAGTGTATATTAGGCTATATAAAGGATACTTAATTCCGGCATCTTATATAATATCCACTAAACTAGGCTAATAATACGCCGGTCTATTCGAGATCACCGAATAAGTCGGCCGCCTTATATATAGACTTAAGCTTCCGGACTCGTGGAAGATACACGACGTTATATTAATCGACCACCTAGAGCTAGCTATATTTAACCCGTACGGCCGATATATTCCCCCGATCTAACCTATCGTGATAAAGATACTACTAATCGAAAAGATTATTATAGAAAGATAATCTAAGACTCGCCGTAACTACTTAGTTCGTTTTATAAACCTTCTAGCTATATAGAATTAATAGCTCTTATATAAAGCTATTATACGCTAATATAATAGAGTAGAGTTATTACGCGAATATAACACGGCTACTAAATAGCAGCACTAATACTATTCTTAACACGGATAAGGTAAGAGCACTATTCGGTAATAACCACCGCTTTTACCTGTCTAAATAAGCTAATCCTTTCTAATATAAATAGTTCTCCTGACCTTTAATAAACTCTTCTCTTAGTTTATCTCCTTTACCTTACTAATAACTTATTTAGTATATCTCCCCTTTCTTTTCTACCTCATAACGTTTACCGTTCTCTATATTAATCCGTTTTCCCTACCTATCTCTTACTACTATATTTCTAATATAATACCCTAAATATAACGAAAATATATAATAATTTCCCCTACTATGACATGATAGAGGAAACCGACACTCTCGGCCTCCTAACTAAACCCCTTTAAGTTAAAACGCCTAATACCTATAATAATAGTTAGTATTAGGCTACCGAAAACGATAGTTAGTATTAGGCCACCGAAAACGACCCTAATAACGAGAAATAAAAATAGTTTACTTAAACCGCGGACGACTATAATACGCCTACTAAGAAACGTAAACGCGCTACTAAGAAAATAATTACCCCCCGTAAAAAAAGTAATACTTAATTAACCGATAAGATAGCTAAGCTTTATAACGATAACCTTATTAAAATTATCTAGTGCAGGGAACTTATTCTCTAGACCTAGGGTATATACGAAGACTAGCTCGATAACGCCGTGGTTAGGGAATACCTAAACTAAATTAAGAACCGCGTAAACTTAGATAAGGATAGTCCCTAGCGTTACATAATACTATAAGTTAATAACACTAAACTAATATAAGTATATAATAATAAATAGAGCGTATCTAATATACCTAGAGTCACTCGCCTTACCTATATACTAGATACTAAACCTTATACTCCGGAACCAGAGTATATTTAGGCTATTATAAATACTATCCTACGTACCTTAGAGATCCCTAAGAGATTTATAGGTAATAATAAATACCTGTAAATTATAATTAAGTTACTCCCTTACTTCACACCCTGGCTATAATAGTATAACGTCCCTGCCCGAAAAAACGCTAAAGTCGCTCCCACTTAACCTAGCTACGCTAGTATTAACCTAACCGACACGTAGACTATACTAAACTATATACAGGACTAGCTTAGCACTCTCGCGGCGGATCTTACCTAAATAGAACTCCGCTACGATAACACTACTAACTAACTTAACTAACTATTCGCGGACGTAACGGAGATTAAAAATCGTATAACCGTACTATAGTTTAACGAACTCACTAATAAGATAACGGAAGCGAAGGATCTATTATAGAAGATACTCGATAGGTTTAATATTAAATACTAATCTAAGGCGTTATATAACGACGAGGACGTTATTTAATTCAAGAGAGGGCAGACTATAAGCATAGTCCCTATATATAGGTATAGGTCCTATACGAGGGTACTAGACCTATATAGCATAGCTTATATACGCCGATTAGGTGACGGGTTTATATACTATATCTTTAGCTAGCCATATATATATCCTAGATAGTCACTTAGCTAGCTATATATACACGTTCTCCATGCATATTGCTATAACCCCCCCCCCCCCCCCCCCCCTCTCCTAACATCCGTCCGTGAGGTCTCTTATCAGACATGCGATAAGATAAGGGCACTCATCATCGTCATCTCCAAGTCACTCGCACCCCTCTCATATTTCTTCCCTTCTCTCTCTCACTCTCACGCACACCACAACATGGCCAGTTCTATTAATGGACACGACATACCATGTTCACGGCCTCAGGAACGCTATACAGTCTTCCGGCCTTCTTGAGGAACATCAAAATGCCATCATCACCGGCGGAGGGCCAAAGAGGCCTACTGACCCGGACCAGTTGGCCTACTTCATACGCCTGATCACCGCAATCCGAGACGGTCGCCGCATTACCACCACATACAACATTGTCGTGCTCTTCATCATCACTGTCCTCGCCTTGTTCCACTTGCGTGGGAAAGCAAGGACTTTGAAGAAGCGGACACGACAAGCTGAGCTGGAGCAGAGACGATTCAGACGAACGTCACGAACCCAAACCGGGGGTGACCGTGAAGCTGAAGATGCCAGCCTCTCCCCCCTCTCATCCTCATCCAGCAGCACAGCAGTCGAAGGCACAGCTGCCCCTCCATGTGCCACGAAGAACGACACTACAAACGTCCAAATTGATATCGAGCGAGTGCCCCTTCTACCCAGCGCATCTTCACCAACCCCTCCTGCGGGCCGTACACCGAGCCTCGGGAATCTCATCACCGCCTGGTTGATGTACCAACCACGTCCCCCCATCCCCCTCATCAACAAGACCCTCCCACCCAACGGGACCTCGCTCTTCATCCTCTCCTTCCTCGCCTTAAACGTCTTCTATCACCTCTACCGCGTCCCGCTCGAACCCGCCTACTTCTTCGCCTTCGCCGACCGCGCAGCCTGCATCTTCATCGTCAACCTGCCCCTTCTCTACCTCCTCGCCGCCAAGAACCAGCCCCTGAAGCTTCTGACCGGCTGCTCCTACGAGAGCCTCAACATCTTCCACCGCCGGCTCGGCGAGCTGCTCTGCGCGGAGGCCGCCGTTCACTCCCTCGGCATGCTGGCCTTCCAGGCGTGGTTGGCGCCCGACTGGCTCCTGGACGGCACCACCTGGGACTTTCTGCGCAACCGCCTGGCTCTCCTGGGAATGGGCACTTTTGTCAGCTACGAGCTCCTCTACTTGACCTCCCTGGCCAGTTTCCGCCAAAAGTGGTACGAGCTGTTCCTCGCCTCGCACGTCGTCCTCCACGTGGCCGCTCTCGTCCTGCTGTGGTTCCACTTCTCCACCAGTCGCCCTTACGTCGCCGTCTCCCTCGCCATCTTCGTCCTCGACCGCATCGCGTGGAGGTTGGTCATCAAGAGTACCGTCGTGGTGGCCGATGTCACGGTTCTCCCGGACGGCGACACGCTGTTGCTCTCCGCCGATTGGGACTTGCCATCTTCCCAATTGCCGCCGCCGTCGCCGCCGCCTCCCAAGGGGTTGTTCGGTTTGTGGTCCTCTTGTGCCCGGCGGCTGGGCTGGACGCACCGTGGCGTCAAGGCCGGCTGGAAACCAACCGACCACGTCTTCCTCACGGTACCCGCCCTGGGCCGCACGCATGCGCTCCAGACACACCCCTTCACCATCGCTTCCGCAGCGCCCGTGCCAGTTCAATCGTCCGACGGCGTGAGCGTCACACATGCCTGGTTCAGCCTTCTCATCCGGGCCCAGTCGGGCTTCACCACCGACCTCCTCCACTACGCCCACCGACACCGTTCCGTGTCCGTTCGTCTGGACGGTCCGTACGGGTCTTCCCACGCCCTGCATACCCTCGAGGCGGCAGATGACGTCGTCCTCGTCGCCGGGGGTTCGGGCATCGCCGTCGCCTTTCCGCTCGTCTGGGCCTTGTTGATGGACGACGATGCGAAGACGGCGAGAGGACCCATCAAGATGGCAGCAACGTCGCACGCCGAAGACCCGAAAGCCGGTGTCCCGTCGCGACGCGTCCATCTCTTGTGGATCGTTCATTCTCGGGAGCACCAACACTGGATACCCTCCGCTATGTGGGACGACCTGGTGTCGGCCGGCTTGGACCTCGTCATTCCGGGTCCCACCGCCGTCGAAGGGCGACCGGACGTTGGAGGATACGTGGGGGGGTGGCTTTTCGATTCGGCTTCGCGAGGACGGGACGTCGGCGTCCTGGTTTCGGGCCCGGACGGGCTCAACCGCGTTGTGAGGAATACGTGTGCCGGCGCCTTGGCTCGAGGGGCCGATGTCAGATTAGTTGTCGAGAAGTTCGGCTGGTAGGGGAATGGGCCGGTTGACCCGAAAATGCATGTGACAGTTGAGCTCACAATGTGGGCAAAGGCTGTTGTCTGGCATTCTTTTCAGACCGTCGACAAATCCCCGCCAGCCACCACGAAACGTCGTGTGACGTCCTGTACGTCCATGGATGATGGATGAGCATCCGACAACATGCTGCTGCGACCACATCCTGCCAAACGGGATCCAATCTCAGCACACGTCACAGCAGCTGCAGTCAGATTCCTTCCCACTGTCTCAGCTTGGGTTACCCAACTTTTCAATACATTGGATGACAAGCGGCTGACTGAGACTCGAGGCTCGAGTCCCCGGGACGTTGCAGTGGTTCTGGAAGGGGCTGTGCTCCCGCAACTTGATGACGTCTTCGGGAGGGATCGACGGCCGAACAGCACAGAAAGCCACTGACGAGGGGTGGCAAAATACCCAAGACAGGCAGGTCGCGGGGTGGCACTTTGTCCATATTGGCCGGACGAAGTGGTGATCGTGCTTCGTCTTTCTCTGCCGGGCTTTCCTTCCCTTCATATTCCCTCCCTCGACGACAATCCTCATCGTCACAACCTTCACAATGCGCGCCGCCCTCCTCGTCTCCTTGGCCTCCGGCGCCCTTGCCGCCCGGCCCTTCCTAAACGAGCCGGACACCGGCATCGAAGCCGTCCTTGGTGACACCCCCGAAGGCTCCCTCCCGGATCTGGACGGCCTGGTTGGCCTCCCGGACTTTGAATGGGTTGCCCGCCGTTATCTCCCTCTGGTCAACTACACCTACTACCAGAACGGTGCCGCCGGCGAGTGGTCCGCTCGGAACAACCTCGAGGTCTTCTACCGCTATCTGTGGCGCGCGAGGCAGATGACTGATATCACCGGGCTGCCAGATACTTTTCAGTGCGTTTTTCTCCTGACTGCTGTGTGCGCATCATCGTGGTGAAACCGGGATCTGTCTTCTGAGTCCTGACTTCTTCGAATTCTGTACAGAACTACCATCCTCGGCCACAACTTCTCTGCCCCGTTAGATAATTTAAATTTAACAACTAAATTAGGTAAGAATTCAAAATATATTAAAGATATTATTGTAAATAAGATTGTATAAAAGAAAGGTAATAATTTAAATAGTATAGGTACTCCGAATTCTGTATCTGTTAATATTTCATGCGTAGGATGAATAAATATACTAACATCTATAAAGAATCCAGAACCTAAACCAACGAAAAGATCTTTAGTTATAAATCCAAAATAGATAGAAAAAATAGCTAGAACAACTAAAGGTAATATTAAGAAAATATCACCTTTATGGCTAGTATTTTCATTATTTAATTTATAATGTTTAGAAGATCCGTTAGGATTACTTAAAAAGGCTAAATACAATATTTTTACAGAATATAATATAGTAAATATTGCACCTATAACTGCAATAATATATACAGCTATGCTGCTAAATTCATATTAACCGTAAGCAGATTCAAGTATAAAATCTTTACGAAAAAGTCCTGTCATGAAAGGAAAAGTTACTAAGCTAAGACTAGCTATTAATATAACAGAATACGTTAAAGGTAAATATTCTTTTCACCCTCTCTATTTTCTTAAATCTTGGTTATCCCCTTCTACATCTCTCCTTGTGCCCGAGCTGACTTTGGCCATGTCAACGGAGAGCTGAACCTTGTTAAAGGGGCTGCCGCGGGTGGTATTCTCTACATTGTAAGTGTCTTCACCCCCTGGCCTCCCTACTCCACGATGGTCATGGGCATCGGTGTCATAGGTGTACTGTGAGGAGTGACAGGCGACTGCTGGACGATATAAGATCACCTAAGGACTAGTAGGAGCTAAAGAGGGGGTATCGTGATAAGATTATTCGTTGAGTCCTCCTAAGACTCTAGGAACTATAGAAGGCACTCCCCTCTTTATACCTACCTAAGGTCTTCTAACTAAGTAGGTAGCGAGAGGCCTCCTTAGGACTAAGTTTAGGCGTAAGCTGGTTCCTAAGCTAACCAGCTTACTTAACCTCGACGCGTCGTGTCTTTAATAGTCTAACCTAACTACGATCCCCCTATCTATATATAAGTCTGGTGCTAGTCCTATAGTAACGTATAAGCACTGTATATTCTAATAATATACCCCTCTCTAAGAATACTCCTATCCTTAGGAGCGTAAGTGCGGATAATTAAAGAGGGATTAGTTATCTAGTAAAGGGAACCTATATTATTACGAAACTCTTTAGGATAACCGTCTTTATTTAGACCGGGTTCTTTCTTCCCACTTAGAGTACTCGAGGAAGATAATAAGCGTTTACCTTTAAACCGCAGATATAGCTATATCTAACTAAGACGTTATTTAGGCATAAAGGTCCTAAAGGCAGTATAATTAGTTTAAAGAGCGAAGTAAAAAGGAATCTATAAATAATTATCGTGTAAATAAATAACGTGCCTAAAATATCCTTAAAGCGAGTATATAAAGAGATTACCTATAGTATTACCGTTAACTAGCACGGTTCCTGTTATAGTAAGAATAAAAGGTTATAGGAGGTCTAATAGCAGGTGTAAGGTATCGTTATAGTAGATATAAGGAAGGTATACGCGGTTCTCCAGGGTTAGTTAACCTCTTACTATAGTAATAATAATGATATTAACTATTTTCCCGTATAACCTTCGTGTTAACTTTTTTTTCTTTCCTAATATAAGCATATATTCATAGCTCTTCTTATACTAGTAAGTGTCTCTCCACGTCTATCATTAAAGATTAATAAGTAATAAGAGATAGTCTTCGTTTATAATATTAACTATCTTTCTATATCCATGCGCTAATAACTCCTATTATTATATCTAACTATCTAACTAAAGACTAACTAGCGCTTATTATAGAGTATATAGAGAACCTGCGTTAGGAAAACCTAGCGTTATGACTAATAATAGAGTAGTAGAACGGTATTACTAATAATAATAATAATACTCCTACTAAAGTGGTTAACTAGGGTAATAGCCCCGTTATTAAGCTATCGTCGGATAGCGAGTACGCTCCTAGTAAGTAGAAAGAGAATAATAATAATAGTATTATTATAATTAACGACGATTCCTTTAAGGGCTTTTTCGAGGGAGAGGGTAGTAAGGTGGTTATAGTTAACGATAGGGAGGAAAAGGAGGATAAGGACGATACCGACCCCGACACGGTTAATAACGTTAATAAGGATAAGGATATAGCCGATACCTAGGGAGGCGATAATAAGCCGTAGGAGGATACTACGTGCACGGTTAAGGAGGACGTAGAGGGCACCTACCCTTACGCTCCATATAACCGTTATACGTAGCACTTCCTCCGGCTTAAGCTAGACGGTAGTCATGACTATATTATCTTTAGCGCTTATAGAGAGGCGTATACTATTAATTCGTATAAATATAAGTATTACTAAGGTAATAGTTCTCGGGGTTACGTGAAGGTAAGTGATTATAACCCCTTCCCGATAAGCCACTCCGTGTATTACTAATAGACTTCCAGATAACCCTTAAGGCGGAGTTACTAGGTAAGCGTATATAGCGTCGCTTAATTAAGGCTAATAAGCGCGGCTACTATACTAACGCGTAGCTTATAAGTAAACCTGACCCCCTAAGAGAGTATATATTACTAACTTAGTAATAGACCGAACTTAAGGAGTTATAGATTTTACTAGGTAAGGCTAAAAGCGGGTATTAGGCCTAAAACTGGCGGGGCTTTAATAAGGCTCCTATAGTCCGCCGCGCCGCCAAGGAGGCGGTTTAAGATACTCGGTCATATTAGGAGATTATAGAAAGTGCGCTACTATGTTTCGTAGCTATAGGTAAACGTTTATACGAGCACCTGCTTAGTAAGTAGCTATAGTAAAACGGGGGATTAGGGGACGGTTAATATATAGTCACCGAGACTTTATATCGGGGGGGGGGGAACTCCGGCCTTAGAATTTTTCGCTTTTAAGGGTTTCTTTTTTCTATCTAGTATAATAGTAAGTCCTTACGGGGTACTAATTAATTTTCTAGGCCTTAATTTAGGAGGTCTACGGGTTCGGTATATGAATTCCTAAAATTCTAATACGTAAGATATTTCTTAAGCCTAGTGTATTAGAATTACACTCTTAAGGTGCTCTGGGTATCTATTTAGGGGGTATCTCGGGACCTCCTAGCGTAATACTCGCGAAGGAGCGATTCCGGGATATTACGCGTGGGTTCCTAAGTATTATCCTTATAGCCGTAGCCTTCCTATTTAATTAGGTATTATTAGCGGTTTCTATTATAACGGTGGGCCAGGATATCCTTAACTTCGTACTTATCGGACTCCTAAGGTTCTACCTAGACTTCCTTAAGGACCTGGACGCCGTCTATACGAGGACTCTAGGGTTCTAAGAGGGAAATAGGAAAGATATTATGAATTTTTATAGTTACCGGAAATTTTAACTTATAGGCGAGTCCGTGATTCCCTATAACTTCCTTAATTTCGTAGGGTCCTAGGTACTTATCCGAGAGCTTCTTACTAGGCCGCTTCTACTTAATATTCTTAGCGGAGAGGAGGATATACTTACCCTTTTTAAACCTATAAGTAAGCTTATCGGTGTTATAGTACTTTATATAGGTCTCCTAGGCTTTTTTAATACGATCTATAAGGGCTCTCCTATTCGTTATTAAGTGCTTAATATACTTATTAGCCGATACGGCGTAGAATTCGTTAGCCTTAGGGAGCGTAATATTATTAGGTCCTCGGGGGGTATAGCCTATAAGTGCTATAGCGGGGGACTACTAGATTATAGAATACTACGCGGTGTTATACGTGAATTAAGCTAATAAGAGCTTATCCACCTAGTTATCCTATTAGTAGGTGTAATAAGTCCGTAGGTAATACTCTAGGTTCTAATATTACCGCTTAGTTTAACTATCGGTCTAAGGATAAAACGCTATTAATAGTCGCCTTTTAAGTCCTAAGCGTTTATATAGGGTAAACTAAAATTTACTCGTGAATAAAGAACCACGGTTAGAAATAATACTATCTAGTAACCTAAAGATAAAGAAGACACTTAACTATATAAGGTCCGCTAAGCCCTTTATAGTTAAATTGGAGCTATACGGGATATATAGGGTAAATTTCGTGTACCGGCACACGATAATAAGAATAGCGTCCTTTTTCTTAGTTCTATGTATTACGGGCGGTAGGCCGGTAATAAAATCGACTAAAATTTCCTAGAACGGACGGCCCGGTATAGAGAGACTCTAGAAACACCCGTAAGGCTTCTAATATCTAGGCTTAGTCCTCTAATAAATAGGGTAAGTAGGGACGAAAGTCTTAACGTCTTATTTTATATATTCCTAAAAAAAGGAGTCTATAATACGCCGGAGGGTCCTCGTGATTCTATAGTATCTAGCTATAGGGTAGTCGTGGAACGCCTATAGGATCTATTCCTAAAGGCCGGAGTGTTTCGGAATAAAAAGCCTATCGCGGAAAAAGACTAGGCCTTATTTATTATAGAATTACGGGTTAGTCGGGTTATCTTCTCGTAGCGACTTATAAAAGGGGTCCTCTTATTAGGCGTTTATAATATTATCCTTAAGACTAGGTAATAACGTTATTATATCCTTGGGAGGGCTAGGGGTAGTGTTAGGGGTAGCGTGAACGGGTCCGACTATAAACTTTTATATAAATACTTTAACCGGCTGTTATTGCTCTATACGAAGGTCGAGATTTCCTGCTACGTGCTAGGGCTTCCTCGAGAGGCTATCTATAGGGTTACTAATACCTAGTCGGTATCGGATAATAAAGTCGTAGACTACTAATTTCTTAAGCTATCGGGCGTGCTAGGCCTTAACCTTAGGTTTTTTAAGAAGGTAGCGGTGGTTTAAGTAATCTGTTAGCACTTCCACGGGGGTATACGCGTAAGCGACATAGTGCTTTTATTATCGAAAAGCTTCTATAATAGCTATAAGTTCTGTATCCGGGGTAGAGTAGTTTAATTTAGGACCTTATAGCTTCTTAGAGAAGACTACCGTAGGTCTCTTTTATCGGTCTACGTCGAGTTAACTAATAACTATACCTAGGGCGAAACTCGATACGTCCGGCTTAATCCGGATTAGTAATATCGGGTTAAAATATCGAAGAACGGGCGCCTCCTAGAATTTCTAGTATAATAGCCGAAAAGTATCCTATTCCCTAAAGGTTAATACGAAGACCCCTACTCTTCCTCCGTCTTTTAATAGGTTAGTTAATGGTGCTATAATCTTAGAGTAGGACTTAATAAACCGCCGGTAAAAACCCGTAAACCCTGAAAAAACCTGGATTTTCTTAATCGTATCTGGCTCTTCCTAATCCCGAATAGCTTCTACCCGCTTAGGGTCTATAAAGACACTATAAGGACTATAGATAAACCTAAGGAACTCCACCTTTTAAATCTTAAAGATATATTTCTTCGGATTAGTATATAGGGACTATTCTTATAGCCGTTATAGGATACTCCGTATATATCGCCGATACGATACCACGTCTAAGCTATAGATTAGAATATTATCCAGGTAAATAATGTAAATAGTATCTATAAATCCTCGTAAAGACTTATTAATATACCGTTAGAAAGAGGCAGGCACGTATAAAGATTAAAAGGTATTATTAGATACTTGTAATAACCGTACTTAGTCCGAAATACGGTCTTCTATTTATCGCTTTCTCGGATCCGTAGCCGGTAATAGGCGTCCTTAAGGTCTAACTTCGTATAGATCGTTAAATAGGATAGGCGGTCTAAAATCTTATAAATTAGCGGGAGTAGCGTACGGTCCTTCTTAGTCACCTTATTAAGTCCTTAGTAGTCTATATATAGTCTTAGCTTTCTACCCTTCTTTAGGATAAAAAGGATAGGGGCGCCTACTAGACTAAATAAAGGCCGGATCTATTATTTCTCCGAAGTATCTTTAATATACTCCCTTAAGACTACGAGTTCCTCCTCGGCTAAGGCGTAGATAGGACTAAAAGGGGGCGATTTACCTTCGTTAAGTTTAATTATATAGTCCTACTTATAGTGTGGTGGAAAACGTCCGGCTTCGACCGTGTTAAAAACGTTAGTAAAATCTCGGTATAGTTTAGGGAGGGTATCCTTATTAAAGGGTCTAGGGGAATTCTAGGTATCCTTTTATAGGTCTTAAGGAGGGTCTTAAGTAGCGGTTATAATCTATCCTAAACGCGTAGGATAAACGGCCATAGTAGTCTATACTATTAAAGGGACTACTATAATAGCGCGGTTAATAGCCTTCCGTAACTAACGGGTCGTGGTAATAAGGGCTAATTCGGACTTCTAAAGGCGGAAAGTCTATATCTTATCCTTCTAGTAGATACTAGGACTATAGGACTAAAGCTATAGGAGACTAAGGATAACCTAGGCGCTATTAGGATCTAAATCTATAATATAGAATATAATAGTTTCGGCTCTGGTTCTCCCCTAATTATCTATAATCTAGCAGATTAATTTCATTATACTATAGGTCTTTACTTACTAACCTAGTACTAACTATAAGACGTCTTTAGTAGGTCCTAAGGGTTTATAACCGGGTAGGAGGCTAGCGCGGTTAATAATATCTAAGTTAGAGCCTAAGTCTATATAAGTACGGTAGGAGGTTTATTCGCTATCTTATTATACGCCGTCTTATCGTAACCTAAGTTACACCTCTAGAGGGCCTTAGGAAAGAGGTGCCGATATAGATGGCGCGCGTCCCTAGTATAAGGATTCCTCGGAAGGCATAACCTATACTTGACCTACTATTATATTTCTCTTAGGATCTATTAGTACGGCATTAGTACTAGGCGTCTTATTAGTATTCTAAGGCCTATTAGTATTCTAATTTATCTTCCTAGGGTCTTTAGGGCACGAGGAGCGATAATAGCCTTTCTCGTAATAATAAAAATACTCGATTTCCTTAATAGGGGGTAGTAGGCTAGTCCGGGGGTTCTTCGGGGGTTTATCCGATATATTCTCTTCTTATCCTTTAATACCCTTAGTGTTATTCTGGTTACGACCACGTAAAGGGCTTAACTATCTCTTCCGCTTATCGTTACGCTTAGCCCGCTAATAGGTATATAGAGAAAAGCGAGGCTAGTTATTATCCTTAGTATCCTGGATTAAGGTAACCTAGGCCTAGTAGGCGGCTATATAGAGCTCTTTAACTAACTTCGGTAATCCTCTAGCACGGATCCGGTCCCTAAGGGGCTTTCGTAATTTATTAAGAATTAACTATATACGAATTTTATCGTTAAGAATAATAGGAACTTCCGTAAAGAGCCTATTTATAAAGTCTAGGAATTTATCGTAAGACTAGTCTAGTTTCTGCCGTATACGGTCGGAGAATGGTTATTCCGTGATAGATATTTTCCGGGTATTATCGTTAACTAATAGACTAGCGAGGAACTTTTTTATATCTTCCTAAGTAACTCCTCCTTCACGATTTATATCCGAAGGTAGTCCTCTAATACTAACGCTATAGTGATTTAGTAGTTAATAGGAGATTATTAAAGGCGTAGAAGATTTTAGGTAATTCGGTGCGAAAATAATTAGGGTTTATAGCGATCCGGGACTTAATATCTTCGACGAATATAAGATATCCGTCGTAAGACACTCTATCCTACTTAAGGATATCTATATTAATTTTAATTACCTTATTACCCTACGCGGGTGCACCTAAAGAGGACTAGGAGGGCTCTTAGGAGGTTATAGGGGTAACGGTATCGGGGTCGACACCGCTACGTAGAAGTTCGAGTCGGCGTTCTTTCTTCTTTCTCTTAAGATATAGTTTAAGATATCGGGTCTCCGCTATAAGTTCGGTATCTTAGAGGTTTATCGTAGGGAGACTCTAAAGGTCTAAGTAAGCACGTCGTGTTACACGGTAGTCCCTTTATCCTTTAGGATTAGGAGTATTAGGGTTAGGGGCACCGTCGGAGTAAGGAGGGGGTAAAAGGGAAGAGGATTCTTCGTCGTTATCGTCTATAGGTCCTGTAGGAGGGGGAATTAGCGGATTAGGGCGTTAAGGTATAGTGGTCTCCTAATATTCTGCTAAAGACTAGTCGTTATAATTCCTATCGGTTGTTACACTCGTATAAAAGGGGAGAACGAATAAAATATTATAAGTATACTATAAGGAGTAATAGGCGACTACTAGATGATATAAGATCACCTAGGGACTAGTAGGAGCTAAAAAGGGGGTATCGTGATAAGATTATTCGTTAAGTCCTCCTAAGACTCTAGGAACTATAAAAGGCACTCCCCTTTTTATACCTACCTAAGGTCTTCTAACTAAATTGGTAGCGAGAGGCCTCCTTAGGACTAAGTTCAGGCGTAAGCTAGTTCCTAAGCTAACTAGCTTACTAGATCTAAGCTGACTTCTAAGCTAACCAGCTTACTTGACCTCGACGCGTTATATCTCTAACGGTCTAACCTAACTATAATCCCCCTATCTATATATAAGTCTGGTGCTAGTCCTGTGGCAACGTATAAGCACTGCATGTTCCGACAATCGGTCACTGGATTGGTCCAGACTAACGCCGTGAAAAGCCCTCTGCGTACTCTAGCTACACAGCCGAGGAGATTTTCGCCGCCAAGGAGGAGGGCCAGATCATTTTCCAGCAGGTGAGCCGGTCATTCTCGGGCGTGATTCATAAACACATAGGCTTCGAATCACCTGTCCCCCTTCTGTATGTCTCGACCGGCAGCTAAAGTGACCCGTTTCCCGCAGCTTTACTTGAACGCCAACATCACTGAAGACACCGAAACCATCCGTCGCATTGAGAACGCGGGGGCTGATGCGCTGGTTCTCACAATTGACTCGTCCGCCGGCAGCAACAGACAACGTGCTGTCCGGTTTGGCGTTGGCTCTGCGTACGATCCCCTCAATCTCTTCCGGCCTATCACTGCCCCTCGCTTCTCTCTGACCAACATACACTGACATGTGAGATACAGGAACACTCAACTCACCCGCCTGACCGTAGGTGCTCTGTTTCTCCATCATCTCCCAGGCATGGTGGCACAGCATCGACTGACAGACTCAGTGGGACTACTACGACCAGCTCAAAGACGTCACCTCCCTCCCCATCGTGCTCAAGGGCGTGACCGGCGTGGAAACGGCCAAGAAAGCCGTCGAGCACGGCGCCCCGGCCATCGTCATCTCCAACCACGGCGGCCGCAACCTGGACGGCAGCCCGTCGGCGCTGGAGATCCTGCTCGAGATCCACCGTGAAGCCCCGGAACTACTGGACCAGGTCGAGATCTGGGCCGACGGTGGCGTCCGCTACGGGGGCGACATCCTCAAGCTGCTCGCTCTCGGTGTCCGTGCTGTGGGAATCGGCTGGCCGTATATGTTCGCCAACGTCTACGGCACCGAGGGCGTCGAGAGGGTCACGGAGATGTTGAAGAGGGAACTGCTTGTTGACGCGGGGAATCTCGGCTTGGAGAGCTTGAAGGAGATTGACTCTACCTATGTGAGTTCAATGTTCCACTTTTGAGTCTTCCTCAGTTCAAGTCTGAGGTCGGTTGAACTAATGCTATTATCCTAGGTTAACTGGACTCCAAATTATTGGCTGGGTTGAGCTATGTCTAGATTGGAGTGACCCGTAAACTCCTCCGATTCCTATGATTGTCTAAGACTGCATGATGTTCTGCTACGTACATTACCCTTGCAGGCCGGGTATTCTTCAGGGGGGGTATCGTTAAGCCTAGTCTATATCTCTAAGACTTTGGATCTAAAGTGGCAATTCATGAAACCAAAGCAATGCCGGCAATGATTCCAAAATAAACATGAACGGGAATCCCCCTTATCTATTCTCTCTCAGCAGCTTCTCAGTCTTTGGTTCGTATCGTGTGATGAAAACCACGATGACGCCGGCCAGTAGTCCAACAGCAGCAGCTAACACTTTGTTAGTGGGCGAGCTTTCCATGCTTCCAGAGTCTCAACCATTAAAACATACTCAAAGTAAAGGCCCAACCAGTCCGCATGGTCTGAATGGTCGACATGCGACTCGCTATGGTCGAGGCCGAGAACATGTATTGCACGAAGTACTTGCTGCTGATGACCTCCGTTTTGCTCTGCGGGAACACCTCTCAACGGCCCGAATAAATCAGCATAATCCACGTCTACGAGGGAGGCTCAGGAGTTTCTTCTCCCCCCAACTCACCTGCAGAGAAGGTATTAAGCCCGCTAAACGAAGACATGAGGCCCACACCGGCAACGAAAGCACTCGCCGCGGGGAGAACCATGCCGCCCAGGCGCTGTTCAAGGCTCCAGCCCAGCACCAGCGTTCCGAGGGGCAAGATGACGAACATGGATGCGAAACCGGACCGCAGCCGGTCGCGCGGTAGTCGGAGACCGTTCCGCCTCTTGATGTACCGCTTGACGGTATGGTCGGATATCCTGCCGCCGATGGTGCCGCCGAGGACAAACCCGACACCGGGCGCCAGGTAGAAGAGACCGCTGGTCAGTGGCGTGGTCAAGTTGAACCGTTCGTTGATGGCGGGGCGGATGGAGCTGAGCATCCCGTACTGGTTGAAGGCTAGCAGACCGCAGGAGATGTTCTGTGATATGGGGTGTCAGGGCCTAAAGGATCGCGGTGCGATGACTGTGCGTCGTGTTCACGTTCATGTTTGCATGGGAAAGCTTGAGGGTTGGGCTTACGGCTAAGAGAATATTGGGGTGTCTCATGACCCTGAAGACGGGGAGCGGGCTGAAGACTCGCAGCAGGCGTTTCGCCGTCTCCTCGGACTGTTCCTGGTCTTTCTCGGCAACGATGTCGTGCGGGACGAAGAACCACCCGAGGATCAGCCCTATGAGCGTCATACCAGCTTGGACGCCAAAGATGACCCGCCAGCTGGTATACGCTGAGATAATGCCGCCAGTCAACGGTGCTACCGGGAGACAGAGTCAGCTCGTAGTCGAAAAGAAGCACGGCCACCGGGCGGGTGGCGGGAAAATATGAAAATAAAGGATGATGCTGTACCAATGCCGTTGCCGCTCACACAGGTACCCAGGAAGAACCCCACGGCAGTCCCTCGGATAGTCTGCGAAGGCAGGCGATATAGTCAAATAGATCAGCGAATGCTCCCAAAGTCGCACGCATTAAGACACGGATGACAGCTAAACGCACTGGTTCGAAAAGATCTGAGAGAATCGTCTGCCCGTAGACCAGAAACACAACACCGATAGTACCACCGATGACCCAAATGGCCGTGAAAGTGGCCATGTTCGGGGCCAGGGCCGACCCGATGGAGCAGAGGCCGAGAACACAGGCGGCAGACAGGTAGGCGAGACGACGGCCCAAGAGGCGGGCAACGGGTACCCAGATCAACGGCGAGGCAGCCATGGCGAGGAAGACGCCCGCATTGGCGACGCTGATGGTGGTTGCGGGAATGGAGAACTCGGCGGCGACTTCAGGGGCGGCGGCGAGGATGGACGACGTGGCGAAGTTCATGGGCAGGGTCATCCAACAGACGGTGAAAAGGGCGACCCATCTTCGCCAGCCGGGGAGGTGAATGGCGGGGTTGTCGTCGATGGCGACGGGTCGGGGGGGTCGGGGCTCGTCGTTCAAGTCGGTGCACGTGGATGCCGCTGGGTTCGGGGCCAGTACTGGGTCCGGAGTCGGAAACAATGGCGGGGACGGGCCGGGCGGCGTCGGGGCCGGGTCGGTCGGGACCGTCGGGACCGTCGGGTACGTACAGAGGGGTGGTAACAGGAGCCCCGACGGGACGGCAGGTGGCTGCTCAGTAGATAGGAGGTGGGCATCCTGGGGAGCCTTCTTCGCCTTTTCCACACTCATCTTGGACGCACCGTGTTTTCCGACTTCCCATGTGATCTTGAGATCCATCACACCGAGAACGAGATTCGGCTAAACAATGCCCTGGCCCTAGACTGACGAATGACCGCTGAGTAACGGCATATTACGTACACACCTTCGGTGTATATCTACTTGGCAAGCTTTTGGAATGTTGAAAGTTACTTACGGCTTGTTAACCCGAGGATCTCTCGTCTTAGACCGAAACTACCCCTGAATTCCTGGCCCCGTCTATATTTACAGAAGTTGCGCAATATAACAGCATAACTTGGTGGACAAGTCAGACTGTCAGACAACGTCTAATCTATCGTTGTATTGCTGCACTGAGTGCACTCGATACACGTTTTCTACGGTTCTACCAGGGTCAAATTCAGTTCCTCCTCCTTATTTTGGTGAAGTCATAGACATACACGTTGCCAGTCGGTGTAAAGTGCCTCGAAGCCCCTTAGTCCTTTATCACTCCGTAGTCCCCCTTTTCCGTGTCAACTAGTAACCAAAGGCAAACTTAAATAACAAGAGTCACAACATCAAGTTAGAGAAGACAACAATGGGAACTTGAAGTTTCAAAGTCATAAGTCATAAGACAGTTGTCTGTTACTGTATTTGTAAGTTGTAACTACCTGTCGGAGGACTCAGGAGTGGACTGGAAAAGATTGGCCGCTAACGTCTAACATGCTAATGCTAATCCACTATGGTCTGACCGCTCGCTAAACTATGCTGAGAGAATAGCAACGAGGTGACTCTCATCATCTCCTTTAGCAACCAGCGTAGATAGCTATGACATTGTTAGTTACGGAGCCTGAAGCCAATGGAGAATGGAGAACGGAGAACGGAGAACTTACACTGGGCATACAGGGCGTAGGTGTCAGCATTGTTCAGGTTCTGCGCGGTGCTCAAGCGCTGGACGCAGCTGTAGCCATAGCAGTAATCGGTAGTGCCGGCAACGTGGCGAAGGTGGGTAGCCTCGTGCAGGGTGGTGCTGGCGTGGGAGATGCCGTAGCAGCTGCCAGAGCGGGCCGGGAAGGTGAAGTAGTAAGGGCAGTTGACGACGTAGTTCTGGGCGGGGACGGCGTAGGCGACGACGCCGTTCGAGCAGGCGCCGCCGGGGTAGATGTCGCGGCAGTGCTGGCGGGCGCCGGAGGTGGTGCTGCCGCACTCGGAGGCGATGCGGTTGAAGACGCCGACGACGGTGCTGCGGGTGGCCGAGGTGGACGACTTGAAGAACTCGTTCATCTTGGCGGCCGAGCCGGAGCTGGCCCAGGAGGCGGCCGTCACGGCGAGGCTGCGGCACGCGCTGATGGCGTTGACGGTCGCCGTGCGCTGGGTGCCGGAGCAGTCGCTCTGGACGGCGAAGCGCTTCTCGAGCATGTCGTGGAATTCGCGGCGGACCATGGCCGCGGCTTCGCCGTCGACGTGGGCGTGCAGCACGTTGGAGCTGTAGGGAACCACGCCGGCGATCTCGGTCGAGTCTTCCTCGGCGTAGGAGAGGGCGCCGGCCGTGGTGAAGTCGAAGTCGCCGCCGGCGCTCAGGTCGTGGCCGATGGCGACGTCCCACTCAACCTCGACGGTCTCGCCGGCGGAGATAAGGCGGAAGGACTCCTCGGTCAGGGCCGCGGTGTCGACCATGAGACGGACACCATCGAAGGCGATCTTCTCGTCTACGACAAGTTAGTATGCCGTAATAACCGTATATGCCCAGTAGGAGGTAGCACCAGGTGCTACTCTGGGAGAGGACATAGTTCAAGGAACACATACTGCCGAGGAAAACCTGCGACTTCTCAACTTCAACGGTATCGAGGATAGAGCCCGTCTTGAGGACTTTGATGGCGGAGCTGCCGGTGTTTGTGATGCTGGCCCTGACGGCGCTGTTGCCCGAGAGCTCAATCTTGACCTCAAGCGGGCTCTCAGTCTCACGCCTGGTGATGTCAACCACAGCGGCGCTGGCAAGAGCCGCAAGGAAGGAAACGCTGGCGAGGAACTTCATGATGGTCGAAATAAGCACGGCAGGGGATCCCGGTATAAGAGAAGGAGTCGATGGATTTGGAGTTGTTCTTTAGTCCTAAGCTCCGATGGCTGCTGATGATGGCTAGAAGATCTTCCTCGGAGCGTGAGGCCAGCCCCTTTAAATAGTTGTCCCAGCATGAAATCCACGAAGCCGATATCCGTGATGATCGTCGATCTTCAACCATCTCTGCCAGAGAACTTCCTGTGATCTTGGCGAGAATCGCTGGTGTGGCAGACCAGAACCGAATAAGGAAGGCCATTCCACAAGCAAGAGGGTGAAGAATCAACGGAAGGTCAGCGGCTCAGGTGTGTGTGTGTGTGTCAGTGTGCGCGTGTGATGAAGCATCGGTCATAGAGAGCAAGTTGCAACTTGCAACCCCCACGATAATGCATGCTCAGGGAGTCAGGGGTATGTGGCAACTAGCGCTTTCCAGCGCATCCGGCCAGAGAATGGCCTAAGCTACATGTACGCAGCAGCAGAGTCAAAGGTGAGGGGTGAGGTGAGGGGTGAGGTGAAGAACTCAGGACTTACTTGCATCGACTGGACCTTATGGAACAAGGAGTACGAGGCGTCTGTCAATTCCCGCAAATTACGATCACAATAGGATCACAAATAAGTACATGTACTATTCGGGCAGAGCTTGAGCCTTGGTGGGCACTTCATGGGTTAGGGTTCACCATTCTATTGGTCCCCCGATCAAGACGGGACTCATGGGAGCATATTCTCCCATCCTCGGTCTCGGGAGCCGGCACTTGTAAGTTATTAGGCACGAGACCCCCGTTTCATAGTCTTGGGGTCCTGATTGGAAGGATAATAGCCCTCCAGTGTACAAGTGCCGGCCCTGCCGGGATGGACCCAGGGATGTTGAGGGGATTCGAAGCACCAAAGATCCCAAAGATCATGTTTGGTGTTTTAGGCTGTTGGCGGCTCCTATCTATAATCTTCTTGATCTCCTTCCCGAGATGGAAAAGGCGCCACTTGCGTAGGCCTGCATGGTACGGTGCTCCCAAAGTCCCACAGTCAAGGTCCCACTTCATGCTGCGGCTTATGAGGTGCATTCGATGGCCGATTATCTCCAGTCTGGGGAGTCTGAGATTGATTTCAGCCAACGAAAATGGCCGAAATCATCTTGGCAGTTGTGTGAGAAGAAAACATGAAGCCGCCGGGTTCCGCGTGTCACGTCCCGTGTCTTGACGAATACAGGGTCGGCCGAGTCCATGGGTTAATGGCCCTGCAGGTCTGTAGCCCGTGATGAGGGGTGAACACTGAAGACTCCGGTGGTAATTGGTAATCAGCGTCTCACCAGAACCGACAGGGGCGTCAAGGGGTCAGGACTCAGGACTCAGGGGCTCGAAGAAGTTAGCTGATCGACATTTACTCCCCGGACCCCCCCAGATACCCGCGTTAACCACCAAGTTTCCCGTCTCGCGGCCATCTCGCCCGCTTCCTGTTCAGGCAGGACAGTGTTCTTCGAAGTTCACATTTATATGCTGATGCAACCTCTGGGCACGAATAGTCGCAGGTGTGCAACGTGCTGCGGCGTATGTTGACAAATGTGTAAGTTATGAATTATCTACCTCCCCGGTTTGGACTATGCGCCGAAGACTGATCACTGATGGCATGCTTCGGGCGGCATGTTTATCAGAGACAGCGACGCTGCGAGTCTGCGACTGGCATTTCCTCAATGATCGAAGTGAAGCGTTCTTTCTGACCCCCCACGGGCCACCACGACGAGTTGGGGGAGGTGGAATGGAACAGACTTGATAGTGATTAGTGAATGCTTGGGGGAAGCCGGAACTTGGAAGCCGGGGAACTTGAAGATGGGTTTACTCGCGCTGAAGAAACACTGCATAAGGGGGTCTCGAGTTTATGAGGCTTATTGGTGGTTAGCTCGCATCGCTGCTGTTTGAAGGCCAGCTTCAGAGATAAGCCAACGTTACCTGCCGAAGACGGCGGTTCGTTGAACGTTCCGAAGAGGAAGGCGCACAACAGACATGACATGGATGCGCTGAAGGAAGATACCCAAAGTTGGTCTAACCCAATGGCCAATGCAACCAAGAAGCGAGTTCAGCGGCCTATATTAGTGAGTCGTCTCCCATTTCAAGGGAATGAAGTTGAATTATAATTGAAGAAATCGCATATTTACAGTCGCTGATCACTGATCAGCACAACTAACACCAGGACCAAGAAGGCCAATGTGAAGCCAAGCTCAGCGTCTCCGCTCTATGTCACATGCATTTATATGGGTTCTACACGTGTATGTACCACCCGTGAGTTCCTTGTAACAAATTGGACTCGCATTGGAGCTCAAGTCAATTAGACATCTCTCGCACTTCTTGGGTGTAGCTTAATTCGACCTAGGGTAATACTTATGGACCAGGTATTCCCCGCGTCATGATACTCGAATCTGTACCAAATTAGTCATTACAACTGCTGTCAACCCGTACTTACTACTCCATACTCTGTACTCCGTAACACGCCGAACCCCCGAGGTACCCAAGGTAACCATGAGTTATTGGACAAAGGACGACCCTAAGTCTCCAGTACTCCACCACCCCCGACTGGAGATTTGAGACCAATGACTCCCGAGTGCCAAAAATTTCTCCCCTCTCATCAGTGTCATCACGCACTATCACGGATTCACGGAGCTCCTGTTCAAAATGGCCAATGATCACATACTCACACTATCATGCCCCGACAAGCCGGGCATCGTCCACGCGGTAACCGGCGTCTTCGCGGCGCAGAACATCAACATCCTCGACCTCCAGCAATTCTCCGACCCCGTCTCGGAACGCTTCTTCATGCGTGTCCACTTCGGCCCGACCGAGTCTGAGTCGACCGACCACCTGAACGCGCCGTTCGCCGAACTGGCGTCCCACCTCAAGATGGACTACACCATCCGCCCCGTGCACAAGAAGCTGCGCGTCCTGATCATGGTCTCCAAGATCGGCCACTGCCTCAACGACCTCCTCTTCCGCGTCAAGTCCGGCCAGCTCAACATCGAGGTGCCCCTCATCGTCTCCAACCACCCGGACTTCCAGCAGCTCGCCGCCAACTACGGCATCGAGTTCCGCCACCTGCCCGTCACCAAGGACACCAAGGCCGAGCAGGAGCAGCAGATCCTCGACCTCATCAAGGAGCGCGACATCGAGCTGGTCGTCCTGGCGCGCTACATGCAGGTCCTCTCGCCGCGCCTGTGCGAGGCCATGTCCGGCCGCATCATCAACATTCACCACAGCTTCCTGCCCTCGTTCAAGGGCGCGAAGCCCTACCATCAGGCCTACGATCGTGGTGTCAAGATCATTGGCGCCACCGCCCACTTCGTCACCGCCGACCTGGATGAGGGCCCGATCATTGAGCAGCGCGTCGGTCGCGTGGACCACAGCATGGACCCGAAGCAGCTTGTTGAGGAAGGCTCGAACATTGAGAGCCAGGTTCTCGCGGCCGCGGTGAAGTGGACGGCTGAGGGGCGTGTATTCCTGAATAATAGTAAGACAGTAGTATTTAACTAAGGGAATGCAGTGAATACTTTATGACCACCGAGTACAAAGTAAGACTGACATGGTCTTGTCACTCCTGCGATGATTGTTACGTCACCCAATGTTCCAGGTTGTTTGTATTAACAGATCGCTGAAAAGGGAAAAGGGGGTCATGACTCACTAGGCGACCCGTCTTCTGTCTTTGCGATAATGAAAGCCTTTGTCGCCCTGCGGCCCCTGCCCTTCGAAGTTCCTTATAGTATCACTGTATACAGTATCATGGTCGTCCTACATGGTTCTTATCGTTATATAGAATGTTCTTGGGTCTCGACTTACGGTTAGGCTGAATATATTTTCAATTTTTTAAAATAAAACCGCAGAGTACAGGATGTCGGCGCGCCGGGTCACGAGCCTATTATCGCCGTTGGAGAGCGTTGCGCCGTTCCACAGGACAGGTAACTGAAGTGCACGGACCCCGACATCCCCTGCCGCGCGGGTACCCCGCCATGACCGGAGCCGCGGCGGAACTTGGAGCCGCGGAACGTGAAACTCGCTGTACCTCCACCTCCTCCTCCACCTCCTCCTCCACCTCCTCCTCCGCCTCCTCCTGCTGACGACAACGTCATGTCCACTACCAACCAAGACGAAGTAGGTAAAGCTTGCGCATGACCCTCGACTGAGATACTCCCGAATAGTCTCGACTTTGCGGCTGGTTCGTCAACCCCGCTCCCTCCAAAATGCAGTCCGGTATCTCAGGTAAGCCCACCAGGATCCCCCCTTTAGTGCCCAGTCGTCGACTCGTCGGGGTCGTCACCCACATGCACTGAGCTGATCCCCGGCTCCACGCCCTCCAGTGTCCGACGAACTACACTCTCGATTCAACAGCCTCCTGTCCTCCGACACCCACTTCGGCCTTCTCGCCACCATCCAATCCGAAACCCTTCAACCCCTCGAGTTCCTCCCTCGCGTCTCCCCTTCCGCCTCCTTCACCGACAACCTCACCTCCCTCGCGCAGCACCTCACGCCCAATGAAGCCCTATACATCATCCTCCGCCGCTACGACACGATACCGCGCCTCGTCGCCGTCACCTACGTCCCCGATGCCGCGAAAGTGCGCCAGAAGATGCTGTTCGCATCGACCCGTCTGACCCTGACCCGCGAACTCGGCACCGAGCACTTCCGCGAGACCATCTTCGCCACGACGCCCGGGGAACTCAGCCCGTCCGGCTTCGCCAAGCACGATGCCCACAACGACCTCGACGCCCCGCTCACCGAGGAGGAGAAAAGCCTGGGAGCCGTCAAGAGGGCCGAACAGGAGGCTGGTTCCGGCACGGGCGTCCGCGAGATCCATCTGAGCAAGAGCCTCTCCATGCCCCTTACCGAGGATGTCATCGCGGCGATGAAGGAGGCTGCGCAAGAAGGAGGCCGGGTGTTGACTATGCTTGTAATGCGGCCCAATCTCTTCCTTTTCCCTCCGGCGCTTTGTCCCGCGCGGATTGCTAACGCGCCGTCACTTTGTAGAAAATCAACCCCGACACCGAAGTCGTCGAGCTCGTCCCCTCTACCGAAGTCCCGACATCCATCTCCGAGCTGGCCCAGACCATCTCCCCCACCGAACCTCGCTTCACCTTTTTCCGGTACTCGCACAGCCACAACGGTGACACCTCGTCGCCCATGCTCTTCTTCTACACCTGCCCCATCACCCCGGGTAACAAGGCCATCAAAACCCGCATGCTGTATCCCCTGATGAAACGGGCCGTTCTCTCCGTCGCCACCGACGACGCGGGGCTAGACCTGGCCAAGAAGTTCGAGGTTGAGGAGCCAAGCGAAATCACCGAAGACTTGGTCCATGCCGAACTGCATCCCAAGGTCGAGGCTCGACAGGCATTCAGACGGCCGAAGCGACCCGGTCGGTGAGGAACGAGGAACGAGGAATGCGGAATCGAACAGCCAAGCAGGCTAAATATGTGCGGGCGCTTGGTCTAAGCATTACATACAGGGTACACAGAAATATATGCTGTCTCTTTACATGCAAACAAGCCCTTCCTTTCGAATCGAACGAACGAAGCTAGCCACCGTCTTCTTTTTTATTTATCCCCCAATGCCCGACGAGATGCATTGGTGAAGGCACAAAACCTCCCCAAGTTTGCCCCCTTTTCCAATGAAAGAATCCAACAGATACTCCTTGTGGGTTAAAAAAACACATCACAATCATAGTATCTTCTCCTTCGATCCCTCCACACTAGCCTCTTGTGTCTTCGAAACTAAAAAGTGGAAAAAAACGCGATTAGATCATGGTATCCCGAAAGAAGAAGAAAAAAAAAAAGAAAAAAAGGCGCCGCTCTCTCAACGTCAGACTGCCGATCGTCCCCTTGACCCTCCAGCTTTGCCGTTCGACTAGCTCAGCCCAAGTCCCGGCACCTCAACCTCAACCTCAACCTCAACCTCAACCTCAACCTCAACCTCAACCTCAACTACTACTCCTCGTACTTGCCTCCCGTAAAAGAAAAGTCGCTCTTCTCGAGCCGTTCCCTGATGTACTCGTATACTGTGAAGGTGACGGCCTGGCCGGGGGCCACACGCATCACGCGAGGTGTGATGCCCTTGTAGAAAGCGTGGAAGCCCTCTTGCCTGTTTGTTTCGGGTCAGTCACTCGGTTCAGAGCTGCATCGCTCTATAGGAGGGGAGGAGAAAAGAAAAAAGAAAGAAGAAAAAAAAGGAAAAGAGGGTGAGGGTGAGGGTGAGGGGTTCATAGCCTACTTGAACATATCGCCAGAGATCTTAGCAATCCGGCTCCAAGCACTGCTTCCCGGCTCCGCCGGTGTCCTCTGCAAGCGCGTCTTGATGGTATCGATAGGCGCATTGCTAAGCGGTCCCATGGCACCGCTGACCAGTCCGATGAGCGTCGTCTGCCAGCTGGGCAAGTTGCCCCCGTCGTATTCGGGCTGCCACCTCTTCAGGGCCTCCTTGAAGTAGCTGTAGGCCGTGAAGTTGACGGCCTGGTTGGTGCCCTGCCGCAGCGCCGTCAAGCTGACGCCGCGGTACAGCGCGCCGAAGCCCTCCTCCTTGACGACGGTGTAGAGCGCGTGCGCGGCGTTGCGGTACTTGGGCACGTCGAGCGGGTCGGCCATGGAGTGGTGTTGCGCCTGGAGGCGGATCTTGATGACTTCCATCGGCGTCACGACGGCGACGGCTTCGGTGATGCCGGCGGCGAGTCCGGCTGTTCGGGCCCAACAGGTTTCAATGGTCAGTTGGGTAAAGCTCTCTTCACGGGGCTCGGCTCGGCTCGGCCTCTCAGGACCGGCCGGAAAATGAGGCCGGCGGCCGGCGGGAGTCGGGACTTGCCTAAGAAGGTGGCCTTGCCGCTCACGACGCCTGTGCTCTTGTCCGCCAGCATCTGCTTGTACGCCTCGAAGCTGGTGAACCGAATCGCCATCTTAGGGACGATGCCCGTTAATACGGCGCCGAGACCCTTGTACAGGGCAAGAGGCGTCTCCTTTTTTACGATTTCCACGCCGGTCCGGATAAAGCCTCGTGAGGGGCCGCCTGCTGTCCTCGAACGGCGTGATAGCTGCATGCGCACCTTGATCGTGTCTGGAGCGCAATTATCATGTGTCAGTCGCATGGGCGGGCCGCAGGGATTGGATGCGCACAGGACTCGACAGGCAGGGCTACTCACCAAGGGGGTGGCAAGCAAGCGCCTCCATCATACCGGCACCGCCGCCAGCTACAAAGGAACATTGTCAGCTGCAAGGAGGTCTTGTGGGGGGTGGGGGAAACGGGCCAAACGGGCCAAACGGGCCATGATTAAGGCGCACCGATGAGGTTCGTCGCCGCAGAAGGCGGCGTCTTGCCGTCCTGTTTCACCTTGGACGCCATCCTCGTATTATGATGTATCAATAAGGCTTTGCGGCGCAAGTCCACTCTCGGTTCAGCTGCGCACGTTACGCTTCCTATTCTTTTCGAGATCCAAGAGGAGTCGTAATTCGAACAGCAGTCAAGGCCGTAGAAGTGGTTTAGAGGGAGTGAGGGAATGTCATTGAGCTAGAGAGAGATGTGCGAGAGAGGAAGAGTGAAGGGGAAAAAAGAGAAAAAGGAGAATATCACGTCACGCGAAAATACAAAGCCACCAGGGGGAATTCCTCGGTGTTGACCAGTTCAAAGCCACGGTTATAAGGACGCTATGTTAGCCAGGTTCGCTAGGCATATTGGCACGAGGGGCGTCCTTCCAGCATGAGTCAAGGACACGAGATTCCCCGAGCTCTGGTTGACGGGGCTAGTGGGCAGCTGATGGGAGCTCCGCCGCCGGGGTGGGCGTCCTTTCACCCGCGGCACAAAATCCAACCCCAAGTCCGACTAAGAGGAAACATAAAAACGTGATCGCCGCTTTCGGCTCCCCGGGATTTGGAGACAAGACAGGGCAGAGAGACGTCTGGCATGTGGAGTAGAGGGGGGTATGAGTCTGTATGACGAAGTGTCCCGAGACCCTTCGAGGTATTCGTACCAAAGTACGTAGGAGAGATTGAGAAGAGGCGATCGATGCCGGCGATGATCCCTATTGGCCCCCCCGCGCTCGGCGTAGCGGAACTTCGGCAGCATGCGTGGAAGCTGGATGGAGGCGAATCGATTTGCCGACTAATACGGTAGTTCTTGTAGTTCAGCAGCAAAACCTCTACGCGTACTGACTTGACCCTTATAAGTTAAGTACCTTACCTAGATGGCTAGATCAATGGAGATAAGATTACGGTTAGACAAAGTTTAAATGGAAGGGAACGTCCCGCACGCCATTAAGGTAGGTATCAGCACATGCTTTTAACGGAAGCATTCGATAACATAATCTTATATTCCGTTCGGAGTACGTAGTGCTCCCGTTGTTGTTGTTTTCTGTATCTGTACACTAACATCTGGATCCGAGTGCTCAACTGCTGTCCTGGCTTGTGATTTCCAGGTGACGTCGTTGCGGGGCAGGGCGTTCTGGGCAGTAGGTACCTGTACCTGTACCTGTACCTGGTACAGCGAAGAGAGTTGCCGACCGCCAACCGAGTTTTGGGGTCGCAGTCCGAGCGTTTTCGCAACCTGCTCGGACCCCTGATTTGCCAGCTTTGCCGAGGTACGGATTGGAGTACTTTGTAAACTCCAGACTCCAGAGGGGTACCAAACTGCTGAGTCACCCTGGTATGAGTTCCTCCTCCATAAGGTAATCGGAGTCCAATTGACTGAGTTGTCGCTTTTGTAAGGTACCCTACCTACCTTAGGTACCTCAGCGGTCGTCCGTCTGATGGATGACTCCCGTTGCTGGTACGGACGCAGTAAAGTCTCGTCAATCATTAACATGTGAATTTACGATACTAATGAGTAAAGTAGATCTGCTCGGCAGAGGTCGGCTAGCGTCGACTTTGCAAATCCCATCGTGTGTATCCGTACGCGTAGTACGAATCCCTTCGACATGTCAACTCCACTTCATATATTTCAGGCGTCGAGGTATATCCCACCCTTAACCGAGATATACATACAACGTATCCAATCCGATGCCCGGACCCCCTGTGAAAGGAACATGTCATGTCTATTTTTGGTCACCAACAATTGAGTTCCCATGTAGCTGGTGTTTTGGGCGAGAAATCATGGCATAAATAAACCCCCAGGCAAGAAAGAAGAAGAATAATAAAAAAAGAAAAAGAGAAATAATAAAAATTGGACGCCATCCAGCGCCTCCCTATCCCTCTTCCCGAAAGAACCCCAACTCCCGAAAAAAACGCCTCAATGAGCATCGCAGCGCAGAAGCCTCAAGTTTGGTTGGCCCTCCTCACGCAGGAGTGCCGCACTCCTCAAGCAGCGGATCATCCGCTTCGAAGCTATAAAGACGCACCTCGCCATCCTCGCTGCCGCTGGCCATGCGGCTATCGCTGAGTCCGACACACGTGACTGGCCCCGTGTGGCCCGTAAAGGTCCTCTCGCACTTTCCAGAGCACGGTTCCCAGACCTTGACCATCGAGTCGTTCGCGCCCGTCACGAGGCGCAGAGAGTCGCCCACCAGAGCCCAGATGCCTTCAACATGGCCGAACATGGTACGCAGGCATTTGCCCGTGGCCGTGGACCACAGCTAAAGGGCTCGTCAGCTCGTGGACGATACACCTGGAAGAGAAGGACAAGAAAAGAAGAAAAGGTAAAAAGAAAAAAAAAAAGGGGGGAAAGAACGCACCTTGATAGTATTGTCCAAGCCAGCCGTGAGGATGTAACGTGGAGGTAGCGGTCGCGAAGGATTGTCGACGAATGCCTGACCGTACGCCGACCGATCGTCATCCGAGGAGCGGCACACGGGATCGTGGAAGGAGGAACCCAGTGTCGAGGCGGCATGGGCATAGGCATAGGTCGAAGGGGTGCTGCTCCGCGCACTGGCGACGGAAGCCGCGTCGCCGCCGTTGTCCGGGCTGAGGGTGTCCTCGTCGGGCTCGAACTCCTCCGGCATGAGCAGCACCTGCTGCACCTGACCCATGTGGCCCTCGAGCGTCCTGATGCACACCTTGTTCTCCAAGTCCCACATCTTGATGGTGCAATCGTCGGAGACGGAGAAAATGACCTGCGACTCCGGGTCGAGCCGGACGTGGTTGACCCAGTCGTCGTGTCCGCGCAGGCAAAACGTTTCCTTGCTGTCAAAGTTGAACACCTTGATCGTCTTGTCGATGGAACCCGACGCAAGCCACTTGCCGTCAAAGTCGACGGAGACGACGCCCTCGCTGTGGCCGCGTAGCGTGCTGATGCACTCCCCCGTCTGCCAGTTCCACACCTTGACCGTGCTGTCCAGGCTGCCGCTGAAGAGCTTGTTGTCGACAAACTTGAGGGTTCGGATGCCCATCGTGTGGCCGGTCAGGGTCCGGATTTCCTTGCCCGTGTTGATGTCCCAAATCTTGATTTTGGCATCGTACGAGCCCGTGACGAGGATCTGATCGTCGAACTGGAGGCAGGTCACCCCGTTCTCGTGCCCCTTGAAAGTCTTGATAGCGCACCGCCCGTACTTCCAGTTGAAGCCGACCTTGAACCGTTCCCGGTACACGCTTTTCCACGGCCGGGACTTCCGATCGGCATCCGATGCATCGCCGCTGCCGCCGCCGCCGCCGCCGCCGAGACAGGCGCGTTTCCTGCTGTCGTCGCGGATCACGAGCTCTCGTTTCCTGGTGCCATTGGAAAATACCGTCTCCACGATCTCGTGTGAGCGTTCGTCCCTTCGTTTCCTTGCCAGCTCCTGCTGTCTCCTCCAATCGCGTAGCTTCTGGCGCTCCAGCAAGGGCAAGCCCCAGCCGCACTTGGTGCACTTGCGGTCGATATGCTGCTCGCACATGTGATGCCACACGACGTCGGCGTCGGCCAAATGGCGCCATCGTCGACTTACCTGGGCAGCTTTGCAGAGGGAGACGGTGTCCAGGTAGCTGAGGACTTTGTAGGATATTTCGACGGGTAGGGCAGTCAGGAAGTCGATCTTCAGTTGTTCCTGGACTTCGCGAGCGACGGTTGATAGTTGGGGGAAGCAACATTGCGTGATGATACCTTGAAGCCTGAGACGGTGTTTGATTAGCCTTTGCTTCAGTGTTTTCCTTTTCTTTATTTCCTTTTTTCCTTTTTTCCTTTTTCCTTTTTCCTTCTTTTTTTTGGCCTTCCAGCTTGCAAAGGGAAGACAACTCACATCAAGTCGCGATGCTTCACCGGGGCAGCCGAGAAAAGAGACCATACATGGGTAATGGCCTGTTGATCGGCCGCGGGGAGTCTCTCGAGTTCCTGGGGAAGGGGGGTGAAGAGGTCAGCAACCTGCCAGGACAGCCTCGAGGGGCCAGACGGGTGGAGCATCAGATACAGACATAGGGAACACTCACCCGTTGAATGTTGACCATCTTTTTCTCATCAGCAGCTCGCCGACATTTAGCATCGGGCCGGTGGCGGTAACAGAACTTGCTGTTGGGATCCCTCTCTTTCCTGATTTCTTGCGAGGCGTGCGTCTCGGGCTTGCCTATGGGGGCGTATAATCCGGGAATATGCTCTCGCAGAAACGGGGTGACGGTCTTGCCGTAGATGCTGGGGGCCATGTTGGCGGCGAGCCTGAAATCGTCCTCTTTGTGCGGTATCCTTCTGTCGCAGTGGTCGTCTTTGGAGGGAGGTTGTTGTTGTTGTTGTTGTTGTGGTGGTGGTGGTGGTGGTGGTGGTGGTGGTGGTGAGGGGCGGCGGTTGGTCGTCACATCGTCGCCGTCACCGTCGCTGTCGCCGTCGCTGTCGCCGTCGCCGTCACGGTCACTGTCGCGGTTGCCGTCGCCTGTTTCTATGGCAGTAGCGGCGGTGGTGGCAGTGGTCGCGAGAGTCGACCGAGGGGCGGACGAGGGAGATGTATCCAAAGGAAAGGCGGCCTCATTCTGGAGGTGGTTGGCGAACGGCGTGTGGGTATCCGGCGCAAAGGTAGACGGAACGAGCGGCGACGTGATAGGAGACTTAGTGAACGTGGTCATGGCAATCAGAGCACCAGAGCGGCAGTCCAAAGAGACGTCTTGGTCTTGCCCAGCGATGAATCGGAGACGGGGCTGGACGGAAAGGGGGCCGACCAGGGTGCCTTGACGGTCGAGATGCGGTCAAGAGAATAGGGGGGCGGGTAATGAAACAGGTCTCGGACGAAGGATGAGGTGAGAAGTACCAAGCGATGGTGTGCTTTCCGTCGGGGCCGCGTTTGGCAGTACAGCGACGCTGTCTGTATGGGCGGTCGAGGCGCGAGGGGCGACGGTCCTGTCCTGGTGAAGGTATCCGTAACTTTGTACAGCACCGCAGTATCCTGTATCTTGTATCTTGTACTAAGCTGACTCGACGGCAAGGATGAAATCGCCGTGCACACAATTGAAAGGAACCGGCATCACCAGAGCACCCCGTTCCTTGGTCGTAGCAGGACGAAAGTCTAGATCGCGGGGAACTCGTCGACACTGCTGGATGGCGAAAGAGGCTGGAAATGGGGGGTGGTACCGGTTTATAGAAAGGCGGTGGCACGAGGCCCAATGATGGGGTTGGAAGGTCGGGTCTCGTGTCCCGTCAAGTGGGCGAAGGTGTGTGTACCGAGCTGATGATTCGCATGCGACTGTCGTTTGTTTTTGTGTTCGTGCGAAACAGGGTTGGAGGCAGAGGTGGAAGGTAGGCTCCGCTACCTATTTCCGAGCAATGGAAACCGGGGTTATAGCATTAATATGCGTTCGGAGGGCGGAGGAGATGTGTTCAAGACGATGAGGGCAGCAAAAGAGACTTTTGAGTGCTTTGGGGCGAAAATGGCGTTATCACACCTGCCAAGAGGGACTAGTGGGGCGCTAACTCATGGTCTGGGATTTTGATTGCGGGGACTCAGGTGTACAACGGTACGGTACGTTGTAGCGTTGGGTACGACACCTGCCATCGCCGGGGCCTTGGCACTTCGGACAGTACATATCATGTAACTGTATGACCGCCAAGAGAGCAGCCAGTCAGCTGGAGAGTCTCCAGACAAGATGTAAGTAAAACAAATTACATACTTCTCTCGACCAGCATGATGCGATGAAGATGTAAGTAAGGAGTATCTCGACTGTTTGTTTCTTCAGCCAATTGGTCATGCCCTCCCTTCATCATCCGTTGGTTGTGTTGCAACACCCGTCACGTAATATGGCGTAGGTATCGTATCACGGACTGCGCTTTTTGATTAGGTAAATAGGTCTCCGTAGAACCATTCAGGCGGGGTCGATCAGGGCTTGGCTTGGATGAGCTCATCCTCCTGTTGCCGCTCCTCATTCACGATTGTCATCCCCGTTGCCCTCAAAGACGAGATTCTGTCAAAAGGCGACACTGCGGGAATGCGCTGTATGAGACAATATCACTTACAATGCAATTAGTAGCCCAGCTTCCAGGCGGCACATGTTTCCCGACTGGGTCTCGAATATGTCACACGACAAGGTGGGTACGTATTCGTAACTTACCTTCCCAAGGTTCATAAGGTACCCTTACTTAGCCTGCTCCCAATATTCGGTACTAGGTACCTAATTGTGCACCTGTGATCAGGTAATTAAGCATTAGTTCGTGTCCTTGTATTCGTACTCCGCAAGCTGACAGGTACGGGGTATTTCATTACAGCATTGTACTCGGGACCCGCCTTACCTTACTTTAGATAAGAAGGGAACCTCCCTTATCGCAAACCCATCGTTCCTCTTTCCCGTTGCCGCGTTTGTCCGTCTGACGGACTATTTCGAGATCAAGGTTACAACCCCATAACCCCATAATGTGATTAATGATCCCTCTTCACACTTGTTTCTATTTCCCTCTCCTCTCCTGAAACATGTAACATCTTTTCTTGCTGTCTTCTGCCTACTCCCCTGGTCAGCCATCATGCGTCATCCAGGTCAATAGTCAATAGTTAATTATCGAATTCGCCGACATCCCGTCCTTCGACAAACATCACACAATCGAACCCAATCCCAATCCCGTCCCTGTCCGACTCCCCATTCAACATGGCGTCCTCCCCCCACCATCCCGGCAGCCGTAGCGTGGCGTCATCGACCTCAGCAGGCCGAGACTCACCGTCGCAACCTCCGTACCCCCCCTACGCTTCCGCTTCCGCTTCCGCCTCCGCCACCGACAGCATACCGGTCGAGACGCTGGTAGAATACCTCCTCGCAGCGAAGCGCTCCCTCTCCTCCATGCAGCATGTGCTCCGCGCCAACGACCTGGCGACGGGGGCTCGGCGGTCGCACGAACAAGCCGCTCTCCTGTGTGCCCAAACCCAGTTCGTACGACGCGCCATGGTGAAGCAGATGGGTGTCCTGATGCGCATCCGCCGCGGGTTGAAACGGACCTACGACGCCGGGAAACGCGACTTTGGCTCTGTGGTCAAAACCATGGACACCGCCAACGAGAGGTTGCAGGCCACAATGGAAATGCTCCGTAACACGCACGTCGAGGCGGTCTTTCGCCCAGCCGGGGAAGAACCCAGGAATCTGATGGATTTTGTCGACGAGCGGAGCGTGTATGACATGGTGGAAGCTCTCAAGACATGCCTCGGTGAATTACAGGTAAAGGCACCCATCCATTTCTTTTTTTTTTTGGGGGGGGGGGGGGGGGTTTCTTTTTCCTTTCTTTCTTTCTTTCTTTTTTTTCCGTTCTGGGCTCCCAACTCTGAAGCCCCTGTCTTTTCTGACGTTCCAATCCCAGGCCATCCAGACATCGTTTGACGGTGATCTGCTCCGCTTCGACGACGACCTCCGCGTGCTGAAAAAGTTCATCGTCTCATCGCCCCTCCCTTCCTCCGACGCCGCCTCGACTCCGCACCACCCCATCCCAGAACTTTTCATGTCCCTCGTCGAACACTCCCATAGCATGGCCGAACTCCTCACATCCTTGACCCAGCACTTCGATCTCTGCGTCACGGCCGTGCGGACCACGGAAGGCGGCGCAGACCTCGCCCGTCGCAGAGCGGCCGAGGTGACAACAACACACGGGGGCGCTACGGGCGGCGGCGGCGGTGGCGGTGCTGGCACCGGGGACGGCGGCGATGTCGTATCCATATCCGGCGTCATTGCGGACCAAGAAACCCACATGTCCAACCTGGAACCGATCACGTCGCAGGACAGGGCCGATATGCTGTCGGTGGTGGTCAGCGACGCGGCCGAGGTGGACGGCGTGGTTCGGGAAATCGGCGAACGCCTGCGCGCCGCGGAGGCCGATTTCGCCGCCCTGGAGGAGCAGACGTCACGCGTCAGGGCGGTGTACCTGGGCACGGTCAAAGCGCTCCGGGCGCTGGAGGACGTGGGCGCGCGCCTGGCGAGCTACGTGGCTGCGGAGGCCGAGTTCCTGCAGCGGTGGGCGTACGAGCGGCAGAACATCCAGGACAAGCTGATAGAGATGGATCAGCTCCGGGACTTCTATGAGCGCTACGCCGGGGCCTACGACAGCTTGCTACTCGAGGTGGAGAGGCGGCGGCGGGTGGAGGACAAGGTCCAGCATATCTGGCGCAAGGCTAAGGAGAGCGTGGACAAGCTGGTGGAAGCCGACCGACGGGAGCGAGAAGGCTTCCGGCAAGACGTCGGCGAGTACGTCCCGACGGATTTATGGCCCGGTATGGGCGCGGGAATGAAATCCTGGGAGCTCGTCCTGACGACGCAGGGGGTCGCCGGTCCTGACGAGGGAGAAGGAGGAGTGCAGAAAAGCACACCAGCCCTCGACAGGCGAGTGACTGACGCCGCCCGAGACAGGTTGGGACGAAGGCAGCGATGATACTGAAGCCCCCAGCCGCGCTTTTGGTATGGTTGCTTCTACCGGTTTCCGGATATCCCCCATCCCCGGCTTAACCCTACGAACCCGACTACCGTCGCGGAATATGCGGGTTTCGGGGCGAGGCGTATTCCATCCTGCACCTCCGTTCAACTTCCAGGACATTGCACGTCGCCCAACTCGCCTTCTCCTTCACCCGACTCCCATTCCTGGCCATGGTTTTTGATGTGCTCCAGACCCAGGGGAGAGGGACGCGATCCATCTTGAGGTACGTCGCCCATGTGCGAATACCTCAGGTTTTGTAATATACCTTTTATGGGCACATGTCTTAGCGTTGGAGTGAAGAACACTTCAGCGCTTCCCCTTGACCGGAAGTGAAGCGGGTCTTGGCTATGTTGTCTTTTAATCCTTTCATGCTGTACAAAACAGTCGTTGTTTGATTCTCCGGGTCTCGTCTAGGCGGACTTGGAGGAGCCCAGGAGAAGACGAAAGCAGAGACCGGGCCGTTCTAGATGGGATTCTAGACATCCATACCACGTCGTACTTAATTAAATAGCGGTTGATCCTGGCCACCAGGCCACGCCGGATTCTGTCATGATAGCGCTGTATACCTATTGTCAAATTCAACCCCCTTTTCCGGGGTTTCTTTCGGTATTTGTATGAATTCAGACCCCGATCAATGAGAGATGCCTCCCCTCCATGGAACCGTCAAAGACTGCACCAACAAGGTCGTCCCCGCTCTCTTCTTCCTCGTCGTCGTCGGATGCATCACTGTCGTCCTCGCCTATTCAAACGGCATCCAAGAGCCTGTTCCCAGAGACGTCACTGCAGGTCTCACCGCCACCCTGGGCATCCTCGTCTTCCTCTTCGCCCTGGGCCGCGGGTTCCTCTACCTCCAGCCCGTCCCTACAGGGCAGCACGACCTGGAACAAGGCGCAGGCCGGTCGCATCAGACGACAGCAGCTCCATTGGCGCCTCAGCCGGGACGGATACACTGCCCCATCCAGGCGGGGGGTTCGCCGTCCGGCTCCTCGGATAGCAACAGAATCACGGTCGCCCATCCTGCGCCCGGTGACCATCTTGCTTCCCCTTCCGATCACGTCGCTTCGGACAGCGAAGACACCGTAGTACCGCCCGCTCGCACCACCCGTCCGTATTCCCAAGGGTACGAGAACCGAGCCGCCGCCGCCTTCGAAACCCCGATACGGGCGCCGAATCGCCCAGCACCTGTATATAACGCCGAAACCGGCTTCGGAAGAGGCGGCGGCGGCGGTGGCGGTGGCCGCGCGGACAGCCAGAGCCAATCGCACAGGCAGCAGACGCGACGCAGCGGCGACGACATCGGGACATCGGAGGATGCCCTGGCTATATTGCCGTCAACTTGGGGCCAGCGACATGTCGCCGTTGGCCATCCTTCGAAACAGATGGCAAAGTCCTCTTTGAATTTGCCGCCTGGCCGACAAAGTCTCTTCAGGAACTCTGGGCTTGGGGGGTTGGAATGAGCAGGGGGATATGGTGCAGGAAGACGTCAGGTCTCGGGATGGCCGCTACCTTAGTTGGCGAGGATGACCTGGGACATTTCGAGGCCAGGAATACAACGATGACAATGCAACAAGCTCAAATACTTCCCTCCCAGCCCGACGACAGTGACCGGCGACGAGTGCCAACGTAGAGTGGATGTCTGGCAACATTGCTGCTGCAACGAAAGCACCATCCTGCGTGAACCGATAGTTACTCGTAGCGTTACATTCTGTAGAGGCCATCAGAGTCGGTTTTTCTTTTTCTTTTTCACTTGTTCCATCTGTCACCGACTTGAAAGTTACGTGCGGGGAGCTAGATGAAAAGCGATTGACCATTACCCTAGGAGAAGACACATTAGAAATTCTCGCCCATGAAATTATATACCCAAAAAGCCACGATGTTCCCGCCTCAGAACCCCTTAATCCTGTCCCAGAACGAACCAGACACCTTCTTCTCCTCCGGCTCGGGCGGGGAGACGATAACTGTATCCCAAACTTCTCTGCCGTCAATGAAGAGACGATAGGTCAAGGTGCTCTGATGGCCCTCCTCGTGGTTCTCGATGGTGAGAGCCCCAAACTTGGAGTTGCCGGAATGAATGTACCTGTTTGTTATCCCTGTTAGCCAGGAGTCTCGAGATCAGAACGACAGAGTGGGGGAGAAAACCAACTTGATGCCAACATCCTCCTCGTCGTACTGCCTGTATGTCGGAATCGGCGAGGAAAACTGGTTCAAAGGGCTGCACGAAAACTCGTAAGGCGCAGCGCTCTCGGGCCAACGGCCGTCTTTCGGGGGCGGAAACTTGGTGGCCGCGAACTCGTGCCGGTCACCCGAGACCACAACGACGCCCACGCCTCGAGCGCCCACATCCCACATCGCTTGCAAGACTTTCTGCCTCTCAAACAAGAAGCCTCCCCAGGTGTCTTTCGTGTTCACGGGCCAGTTCTTCGTCAAGGGCACGGAAGACGCAACGATCTTCCACTTGACGCCTTTCGGCTCGGGCCGCTGGAGCCACGCGAGGAAGTCTTCCAGCTGCTGCGCACCGAGCATGGTCTTCTCCGGGCTGTCGAAGGGTTCGTCGTTGTGGGAGCGGTGGGTCCTGGTATCCAGCAGAAAGAAACTCGCCGGTCCCTGGACAAACTCGAAGTATGTGGCCCCTTCCCTCCGCAGGTTGGCACTACCGGCGGCCATAGCTGGCGGAGGGTTCGCCGAAGCCTGGTAGTGGTGCCAGGGGTCGACGGCGGCTTCGTAAACGCCGGTGGTGTTGGCCGACCAGTCGTTGGCGATCTCATGATCGTCCAGGACATGGATCCAGCTGAGGTTCTGCGCGACGGGGGCCCAGTCCGGAGAGGCATAGACGTGTCGGTACTTCTGGCGATAGTCCTCAGTCGACAAGCCGAGTCGCCGAGGCACGTCGATATAAATGAAGTCGCCAAGGAACAGCATGAACTGGGCTTGCAGGTCAGGTAGCAACCTAGCTAAATGACGCAGGCCAGGGATGGCCAACGGGCTGTCCAGTGGGTTGTACGGGAAGCGTGGAAGGATGCAAGACGTGGATAGGAAGGTAAACTTCCCACCAGAGTGCTCCGGTGCGTAACCGGGCTTAGGCGGCGCGATAAACTCGCCTGAATGGTTGTTCGAGGTCCTCCATTCGTAGATGCGTTGCCGAGAGTATCTCAACGGCACATCGATGACAGCCGTGTAGTCGGTCGAATTGTCCGTCCAACTGATGCTACCCCCGGTTAGCCAGAGAGAGGTATCCACGGGGCCTCCAGGAACGTCCTTGGTGTGCAGTTCCAGCGTAACCGGCAATCTGGCCTGATCTGGTTCCCGGACAACAAAGCTCGCTTCGGTGGGGGAGACGTATCCTAACCGCACAAACGACAAATCATCGTTTGGGTAGAAGTATCTGGCCCGGAATAAGACGTCCGTGACCATGGCGACCAGCGCAAGGTTGATGAGGAAGGTCAGCAGCGACAAAAGAGGGCGTCTACGGTCCGGTGAGCCGGTGAGCAGCGTACTCCACGGTCTCGTGGGCTTCTCGCGCATAACTATAGTCTCGTCCACTTCAACTTCGGACTCCACGACGGCAGGTCTCTCCGTCTCAGACCCTGTGGCAGTTGGTTCTGTAGACTGCACCTCTTCGGTGAGAGTCGTCTGCGTGACCTTGACATCGATCTCATCGCTGATGACTTCATAAGATGGACCCTTGAGATACGCAGAAATAAAGGAGGGTACATATAAGGCGAATAGAGTGTATATGGTCAGGCTTAAAGCAGGCTGGTGGCCGGTCAGTCGTCAGTCAGGTCAGCTTGGGATTCTGGTTGAGCCCAGTCCGGGTGAAAAGGGAGGGAGCTTGTAACGCACAGGACCTGCAACCCATCGAAAGAATATGTACGAGAGTATCCTGATACCAGTCGAAGAACACTTCGCTATCCTTTCCTGGACCGCCATTTCGATCGTGTGATTCGTGCCTCCAGGTGATTGAGCGCGTTGAAGATGGCTTGGCGAAATTCGCGTTCAGTCCAAACAGATGATGGACGACAGCAGACCTCGGGAGTGAGAAGATGAAACCGGTGCTGAAATAAATAAGTACAGTACTTCAATCGAAACGAGCGACGAGAGAAGGAAACGAGGCGCGCTAGGAACGCAACTAGAATTCGTGTGTTGCTGGCACGAAGGCCGGTTTGTGATTCCTCGAAATTCTACTACGTCATGTGTGGCCTGCCAATTGGATCGACAGCTTGCTATCAGGTATAGCGCCTGACCCTCACCTTACCGGAGTCGGAATATCCATTTACCCGTTGGACGGGTCATGTGACCTTGCGCTCGGGCTAAGAAGCTTCAAGTATCCCTACTATTCCTTCCACGCTCACCGGACCACTCTGCTTATGCTATACCGCAGTTGCCAGCCTTTTTTGTTAAAGTATTCTGCATGAGGACCAGGATTAAGTGGTCCGGCACACGGGGATGCAGGCTAGCCGTATTCTATGGTCTACAGCGGATGCCCTTCGAGCGTCCTATACCTTCCACCGCTTCTGCTCGATGCCTACGACCTTTATCCCTAGGTCAAATCCCATCTATGGAACGACCGACGGTTCCTCCGGCCCGACTCGTTCGTCTACGGGCATAGCGCATCACCCACTCCACCTCCACGCCCTCTCGCCGAGCTGCCCACTACAAGCCCGTACTGACATGACGTTCACAGGCCAGGTCGGACGAGTATGTTGTCCGATCGCTCGACATGCTGCAATTTGTCGCTGCGTGCCTGGCTGAATTATGAACATGATTGCATCTTCGAACGTCCTTCTGACCCCCTTGCCGAGTCTTCAGCAACGCTATTGTGCCCCCTTAATTACCTTGTCGTTAGAAGCCTCGGCTCCCGCCTCGAGGCCGTGAGCCGTGCCTCCTGATGCTCAGACCTCTGGTTTATGCGATAGGTCCCTCGTCCACCCTCGTCCACGGCACAGAGATAACACTGATCTGACTACTATCCATAATATCCCGCTCGGCCTCGACCGCTATCACCTAGCGGCCGCCGCGCCTTTTTAGAATAAGCCGTGCTATAGGTTCCTCGGCAGCGACAAGATTTCTGAAGCAGTTCCCCGCCTCCTTAAGACGAATCTGGTAAACGGCCGCGCTATCTTGAAAATCCGTTCGGGATAAGTTAAACGTCCAGTTTGCGTCGGTGTAGGTCCTATAGGGATAGATCTCGCCTAACACTATCCCGATAAATCCATCATCCTTCTTATATACCATGCCACCGGGGTCACGGCCAACCGCCCGAAGCCTAAGGCCTTATTCGTACCTCTTGATCCGAGGCGGCAGGCCGTCTGCAGTGTGTCCGCAAGCGCATTCCCCGCCAGCGGCGCAGAAGTCGCATTGCGTCTCGGTCGGTCCCAACGACAGCGGATTGGCAGGCCAGCTAGCCCGGCAGATCACCTCGGAAGCCTTTTGGAGGTGAGTCTCAGCCTGGCAGCATGCTTAACAGCGAGGGAATTGCTGCTTGCCAATCCCAGTAGAGCCCAAGCCAAAGAAAAGTACAAGAGGTTCATCGTTGAACTCGAAGATAGCCGGGCGGAGTACTGTACGTTTGGGATACTGTGGGAACTGAGCACACACGACGACGCATAATTATACTAGGTCCAAAAGTGGGATATAAAACCGGAAGATATAGCTTTAGCTTGGTCCTCCCCATGTTTTCGCTTGGTTCCCTGGCCGCTCGAGTTGCTTACAGCTGCGTCCATCTCTGGAGTACCTACAGTTTCCTCTAGGGGGCCCTCTTAGCGTTACACTCGGGACCTCCGCCAGCCGCCAACTGTGCATCGATCACCACCGGGATCTGGCGCCGCCGTAGTGATATCCACATCAACTGGGGAAGTACAGCCCTTACATGGACAGACAGGGATCATGAATGGAGACAAGACTTTGCTTTTCTAACGGGGATGGAACGCCCTGGGGAAGATGAGGCACGATCAACCCAGGGCATCACAATGCAAAGCTACCTCCAGTTTTCGGCCTGCTCCGTTCTACACCCAAGTACAGTAACCATGAAGAGCCCAACGTCTTGGCCATGAGAACCGGCCAAAAGACGGATCATCTGCCCAAAAGTTGCCAGGGCGTGCATACTGAACAGAGGTTGAGTGTCCGTCGCAGGCCATCCACCAGCCCGAGCCCTCAGCATCGTCGGACGGCTGAGATCCCGAACGACCTAGACATATCCCTCCACAACCAAAGCCCCGGGATTCCGTCTCCTTTCCAGCCCAACGTGCGCATTATACTTGTGCGTCCAGAGATCCCAATGCCACCTGCACTCGAGTGCCAGAGTTTTCTGTGGCCTCACTGATGTGAGCGGGATACTCAAATGCACACCTACTCAGGCTCAAGGGGACCGAGTCAGCCGACCAGAGCCCCAGCCCTCACAAGATTGTATCCGATTTCCATGAGGCGAGGGTTGGGGGTTCGACCGACTCCCACCAAACCGCCTACAGCCAAGCCTTGAAGATGCGCACGTACAGCATCTTGACGAGCTGCACCTCGAGACAGTACGCGGCCAACAAGGCGGCCAGGATGCCGACAAAGGAGTCAGCAGGGCGGGTCATGTTGAGGACATCCCTGAAGGGAGGGATATAGGGGATGCAGAAGCCGATGAGTATTATGGCGCAAGTCGCGAAGACAAGGCAAGGCGCAGCGCGGCTCTGGACGACGGGGATCTTGGCCGTTCGCAGCATGTGCACGATGAGCGTCTGGGTGAGCAGCCCTTGCAGGAACCAATGCGTCTGGAACAGAGCAACCGCTTGAGGATCCTCCGCGGAGCGCACTCCATAATAGAACCAGCCAGAGCAGAAGGTGGCAATGTCGATGACCGACGACGTCGGGCCCAGCACGAGAATGAAGCGCAGCAGGTCTCGGGACGCCCAGCGGCGCGGCAGGGCGAGGTCCTCGTCGTCGACGCGGTCCCAGGGGATGGCGATCTGGGAGACGTCGTACAGCAGGTTCTGCACCAGCAGCTGGATAGGGCTCATGGGCGTGAAGGGCAGCCAGGCGCTGGCGATGAGGATGCTGAAGACGTTGCCGAAGTTGGCAGACGCCACCATCTTTATGTACTTGATCGAGTTACCGTAGGTGACGCGGCCGGTGCGGACGCCGTCGGCGACGATGCCGAGGCCCTTTTCCGTGAGAATCACGTCGGCGACGTCCTTGGCGGCGCGGGCGCTGCTGTCGACGGAGATGCCAACGTCGGCGGCGCGGAGGGCGACGCAGTCGTTGACGCCGTCACCGAGCATCCCGACGCAGTGGCCATGGGCGCGCAGCCGGCGGACGACCTGGCCCTTCTGCGAGGGCGTCAGCTTGGCGAAGACGCGGCAGGTTCGGACGGCGGCGTCGAAGGCGTCGACATCGCCGTCGAGGGCTGCCAGGTCGGGGCCCGTGATGGCCTGCACGTCGTCCGAGTTGGGGCTGTCCGCGGCGATGCCGATGGCCTGACAAATGTTGACGGCCACGGCGAGGTTGTCGCCCGTGAGAACCTTGACCTCGACGCCGGCGCTTCGCAGGCGCTCGACTGACTCGGCGGCGTCGTCCTTGACGGGGTCCAGGAAGGTGAGCAGACCCTCGAGGGTCATGGAGGCTTCAAGCTCTTGGAGGGCGTCCTCCATGGCGTCCTGGTCTCCCGCGGCGACGACGGCCGGCAGCTTGGGGATCTTCTTGGTGGCCACGAGGAGAACACGGTAGCCACCGGCGGCGAGCTTGTCGGCCTGGGAGGCCATTGCTTGACGGGTCGCGCCGTCGAGAGCTTCCTCCTTGGGGCCCCGGCGTACGCGGCTGCAGAGGGCAAGGACCTCTTCGAAGGCGCCCTTGCAGATGAGCATCTGCTGGTGCGTGTAGCCGCGGACCACGCAGCTGGAGCGGCGCCTCTCAAAGGTGAAGGGAAGGACGGCGACGTACTCGTGGTACGGGACGGTGATCGACTCGCCAGGCGTCTCGTTGTGCCGGACAATGGCGGCGTCCATGGCATTGCCCTGGGGCCCCTGGGCGGCAGCGTTGATGTAGGCCAGCTGAAAGACGCCCGAGTTGCTCAGGCCGGCGCAGTCGACGAAGGCGTCCATGCGCACCTCGTCCTTGGTCAGCGTGCCGGTCTTATCGCTGCAGAGCACGGTCATCGCGCCCAGGTTCTGGATGGCGTCGAGCCGCTTGACGATGGCCTTCTTGCTGGAGAGGAGGTGGGCGCCGCGCGCGAGGTTTGTGTTGACGATGGCGGGCAGCATCTCGGGCACCAGGCCGACGGCTACACTGACGGAGAAGAGTGCAGCTTGGGCCCAGTCGCCGGTCACGTGGCCGGAGATGCCGAGAACCTGTCCCTTGTTAGTTGACGGCAGTCCTTGATGCACGTCGAGTGATCTACAGGGGCACTCACAATGGGCACCATCACCAGCATGAACCCGATGAGCATATAGGTGACGTTGCGGATGCCGCGCTGGAAGGCGTTGGGCTCCCGCTTCTTCGACAGCTGCCGCATGATGGACGCGATGACGCTATCGTCGCCCGTCCGCAGCACCAGGGCAATCGCACTGCCCGAGACGACGCTGGTGCCCATAAAAGCCACGTTCTTCAGGTCAAAGGCCGTTTCGCAGTTCTTGGTCTCGGCCGCGTGTGCCCCCGGCGCCTTGGTCACAGGCATGCTCTCGCCGGTAAGGCTTGACTGGCTGACACGGAGGTAGTTGGCCTCGAGGATCATGCAGTCTGCGGCCACGGCATCGCCAGGGGACAGGAGCAGGATGTCCCCAGGCACCACCTCCTTCTCGTGGACAGACAGCTCGACCGACTCGGGCTCAGACCCGGACCCGGGCTTTTCAGCTCCCTGGCCGGGCCGCCGGCGCACCCTGGCGTTGGTGGTGATCGAGTTCTGCAGCTTGACAACGGACACGAGGCTTCGGTATTCCTGCCAGAAGCGCACCCCTGACGAGATGGCGATCATAGCCATGAGGACGCCCAAGGTCTCCCAGCTACGTTCGGGAGACGCAACGCTGATGACGGCGATGAAAGCCAGGAGAAGGTTGAACGGGTTGGGGATGACCATGAGGAGGAGCAGCCACCACGGGGGCGGCGCCTTGGCCGAGACGACGTTGGGGCCGTGGCTCTTGAGGCGGGCCGTGGCTTCGGCCTGGGCAAGGCCGTTGCGGGAGGTGCCGGTGCCGAGCTCGGCCATGGCCTGCCCCTCGTCCATCTGGGCGAAGCGGCGAAGAGCCGCCTCGGGCATGTTCCTGTCGACGGGTGTGCCCAGACCCAGAGCCTGTGCCCTAAGGGCGCGGAGCCGCATCGGTACGTGGGTGAACATGGCGGGTGTGGAAAAGCTTCGTCATATCCGTAGGTAGGTCGTACAAGTCAGGTCTGTACTGGTATGGTGAGCTGGTCAGCCGGTTTGGTCTTTGGATCCTTTGACAAGGGAGCCACAGTGAGAGCAAAGCGTCGAATGATGCCCGAGGTTGCCCGAGTAACAGGCTCGCCCGAGTACCAGGCTGTGACAAGCCATGCGATCTTGAACTGCAAGAGATGCTGCGACGTACCAATCAACACTTTCAAGTGCTCGTTTGTGGGTTCGGACACGTCCTAAGGCGGCTCGAAGCTCGTCGGCTGCTGAGTGCGGGCAGCCAGGATAATCCCGAGCGGTGACAGGGCGGTGAACGCCAGCGTGACGGTTGTTTTGGACGGTACAAGTGAGAATAAACGACTCGATCAGTGGACGAGTCGCTTCAGGGCAATGGTTTGTGATGGCGATTTGAGAGAAGGAGTGAGCGTCCGGGGCGCAAAAAGGGGCCAAGCACGATTTAATACTCCAGCCTGGTCCCGCCCCCCCTTGCGCCCAGCACCGCCCTCGGCGTCAGAGTTTTCAGGCCGGGCGTGGTATACCGTGCAGCGGTCTAGGTGTTCTTGGCCAAGCGAAGACGCGCGTCCCATTTCAAAGTGTGAGGGATATTCCCGTCCGCGTCGCACAAGCCGGAGCGTCACTTTTCATCAAACTCTTCGCGTCATTAGTATTCGGGGATGGCGGGTTGCAGCCAGGGTTGATCGATCTGGCGTGAGACGAGAGACAGACATCAAGAAATCCCTCCCCACGCCTCGCGTTGTCGGGCCGCCGCCCTTTGGTCGTGCTGTGACTCATCATACAGCTGGCCATTTAACCAAGCTCTGCTATGTTATCGAGAACCTTAGGAGCGATAAATAGGTTAAGATAGCGAACCCACTGTTTATAGCTAGAGGCTCCTTATTAACAGCGGAGGAACGCCTCGAACTTTGCCGTGTTACTATCACGGATTATTAACTAAAGCTTCTAGCTAGGGCCGATAACGAAGTCAGAAGAACGAAAACGTGTGTTTTGGTATTTATCGCACGTTAAAAGGCACTTGGATAATTAACTTAGTAGAGCAGAAATCTCGTGTGTATGTCTTTTTTCAAGTTATATCTATATAAGTCTCTTATGCCCTTAATTTAGGTGGTGAAGACTCTGTTATGGGTACTATATTATTTAGATCCTATCCGGTCTTTTCCGGTATCCGCCCCTATTATATCCTAATACCCGAGGTCCGAAGCCCTTAATTAGGGAGTAGATCCCCCCTAAATCTTCTATAGACTACGTTATAGTCCTGCCTATACGATATACCCCTTTAGTTAAGGTGGGTCTTCCCAGGTTAACTAACTAATTAAAGGCTTTAGTTTAAACTAAACGCTCTTAGCTTTTCTATCGTAAAATTAATAGTTAAGAGAAAAACGCCCTTATAAAAAGGATCTAAATCCGCCCTATTTAACCGTTTAATTTAATTCTATCTTAATTAGTTCCTTAATCCTGATTAGCCGGATCTACTTAATCGGATCTATATCTATCGGATCTACTATATCCTCGGAGGCCTTTATAGTCGCTATAGCTATAGCTTTAGCGCGTTTAATCTTTTCGTGTAGCCGTTTAGACTACTCGATACGATCCTTTCAATCCGTTAGATTAAGCTATTACTATAGTCTTTTAATCCCTGCCTCCGGTAATACCTTTATTAAACCGTCCGCGATTATCTTCTTCGTGTTAATATATATAACCTTAAAAAAACCTTATTATACTAACTAGGGCGCCTACTAGTTATATATATCGATATACTATAGCCTTATCCGTAGGCGTTATACCTTCTTATTAATAAGGTTAATAGTCTGCTAATTATCGTAGTATAGCCATAATTACTATTAGTCTAACCGAAGCTCTAAATCCCTTAATATCCGGCTAACGAATAGCGTCTCCTTAGCTACTTCGGTAAGAGTAAGTAGTTCCGACTCTATTAACGACGTCGTTACTATTAGTTACTTACCCGCCTTCTAGTTAACGGTGCCGCCGAAAAGCTTTATCGTATATTCTTATAAGCTCTTACGGTCTGGATTATCCCTAAAGGACGCGTCGCTTATTATTAGGAAGAGCCTATCCCCGCTAAATTCCAGGTAGTAGTATCTTATATAGTATAGGAATAGCAGTACTTATTAAGCCCTTTTAAGGTAGTTAGAGGAGGGGTTAACGTTATATTAGGAAAGCTTTAAATAGGCGAACGCGATATCGGGTCTTATTATAATAGCGGTATATAGGATAGAACCGATTATACCCTAGTATTACCGGACCTCGGGAATTAACGCGCGTATGCTATCGCGGGGTATTAGCGGCTTTATCGTTAATAATAGGACCTTTAGTGGTTTTCGGCAGAGTATATCTACGTAGTATTTAACCGCGATCTTCTCTATATAGGAGGATTATAATAGCTATAACCTACGGGTAGCTCTATTCCTTAGGACCTTAATTCCTAGGAACTAATAGATTTCTTCGCCTCCTAATAACCTATAGCTTCGCTTAAGGGCGGCCTCAAGGTCATCGGCGTTAGTCTTACAGTCTCTATAATATATAAGTCCGATATCGTCGATATAGAAGAATAGGATTAAACCGTTACGGATTATAATATAGGGGTTATTAGGTATAGCCGTAAATCCTATCCTCTATAATATACTGCTAAATTTCTATTACTATAGTAGTAGCAATACCCTTAAGCCGAAAAGGGCTTTCCGTAGTAGTAATACCTTACCTATCACTTTATAGCCTTACGGTATCTTTATAAACACCTGTTCCTTAAGGCTAGCGCTAACGAACGCGTTAATAGCGTTAAACTACCTTATCTCTAGGTTAAATCGGGCGGCGATCGCTATTAATATACGGAAAGACCGCGAGGCTAGCGTTATAGCGTAGGTATCTTTAGTCTTTAACCGTTTTTATTAATCTCCTTAGACTATAAGGCGTGCCTTATACTTAAGGAGGGTGCCCTCCTTATTAAATTTATAGGTGTATACCTATCTATAGGCGAGGACTTATTACTTATTAGCCTAATTACTACCCACCTCCTGCTAGTAGCCTATCTATCGGTGCCCTTTAAGGTATTCCCCCTTAGCCTATAAATACCGCTCATATAACAGGTAGAGGCGTATATCGCGGTGGTGCTTTAATAGAGGTAGGAGATCCTCGCGGGTTACGCGCGATAGCGGCTAGGAGGTATTAAAGGGAGTAGAATCTATAGCACCGATATCGCCGTCGTTAATAACTTACTTCCTCCTACGTATAGGGTTATAAGTCCTTCTAGTATTAAAGAACGCCTTTTAGGCGTTATCGTTCTAGACTAATATGCCTATCCGGTATATCCCCTGGCCAGCTAGTACTCTAGGACCTATAAGCCAGGTTTTTCTCGAGGGGTGACCTTTAGGTATAGAAAATAGGGTGTAATAAAGATATCTTCTCTAAGCTAAGGGGGCGCGCGCCCCGGGACTTAAGTATCTACGGGGAAACCCCGTGGAATCCTCGGCTTCTACGTATAGGAACCCGGAGGATTCCCCGGTATTCACTAATTATACCCTGGGGAAGCTATAGTATACCCTAAAAGTACCTATAGTATACCCCGTGGGTGCTATAGCGTAAGCTATAGTACGCCCGTGGTATGCCCGTAGTACGCCTTAGTATTCCTAGTAGAATCTAGGGCGTATTATATACCCCGGGCGATAAAGCCCTATATCCCACGGGCTTTCCCCGGTAACTATAATAGCCTTACTTAAGGCGCTTTACGGTTATACTAGTAAACCGCGGTCTAATTAAGGAGAATAAAAAGAAAATATAGTTACGCGGCTGTGCCCTAATAGCGACCGCTACCGTGGCTATCTATTACCTAGCTAAGCGAGAGAGAGAGAGAAAAAAGAAAATAAAATTAAGCCGACGCCGCGGCCTTCCTTCCTACCGTATTCCTTAGTAAAATCCCTAGGTAAGTAAATAAGTAGATAGAGGGAAGAAGGAGACGTTTAGTACTATCTCCCTATTATACCTTACCGCGTTTCCTAGTATAGAGTCCTCGGTCCTAGTACCTATACCACCTAACTATATAATCACTTTAGTATAGTGATTTCGTTATCGTCGTTAGCGGGCTACGCCCTAACTATCAGGATACCCTATTAGTCTAGCGGCGTATTTATAGCTAGGGCCGCTTCGTCTATAGTAAACTCCGTGGCGCGAGCCTTAACCTCGGCGTGGTCGCCGATATACGTATCCTTTAGGTTAGCGGCCGAACGGTCGACCTACGTAGCTTATAAAGCTATATAGTATCGGACGATAGAGATAGCCTTTTCCCGGTCGGTGGCTAGTATATTTACTAGTACTTCCCTATATATATTAGTGAGTTATCCGTCGGCTATAAAGAGGGCGACGGCTACTATACGACTTATACGCTATATCGTTAATAGTAGTAGGAGATCCGCGGCGTTCTATATAATATTCCTAGCGGCTCCGTCTTAGAGCGTGGTAAGTATAAACCTAGCCGTAGGAACGGGGAGGGCCACCGTATAGCCACGCCAGCGGATAATAATAACGACCTAGTCATCCTTAGTAATATCCTCTTATCCCTGGAACCATCGACGTTGCCAACTTCTTCGAGGTCTTAACCTAGGGAATATTAGCGGACGCCGGCCTAGCTACGGTATTCACGGCGTTTACCTCCGCCTCGAGGTCGATAAACGCGGCCGTTCGCTGACTAGAGGCTATAGCGGGGGAGTCGGCGTTAGTGCGGTGTATCTACGGCGTCTTAACGTACTTACCCGTATAATTATAAGGCGCGTCCGAATCCCGAGCTATAATATATTACCTAAATAAAATATTTAGACGGTTCCACGATACGGTAATAGGGTTCACGTCTAATAAGAATTCTAGCTAGGGAATTTAGCTTACGATATTATAAGCCTCGGCCTCGGAGATAGCTTAGTAAACCAAGGGGTACTCCTCGGGGATAAAAACTATACGGTTAAGATCTTAGTCCACGGGATAGTTATAGTCGTATACCTCCGCCTCTCGGTAAAACTTAGTAATCCTTATCTTATAAGTCTCTTTCTATACTACGAACCTAATACCTAGTATCGATAGCTCGCTCTTAAGCCGTTCTTTACTCCCGTATAGTATTACTACCCGGAAATAGCCGTCCTTAGTAAACCCTAAGCCGGGCCGTTTAGGGTTCCGGAAAGCTTTATTAAACGTGTCTTTATAGTCTATATCCTTAAATAGCTAGTAAGATAATAGGGCTTTAACG